AGAATTTTTAAAGAGATTTTACAAAATAAGAAACTCTTTCAAATAGGTTAGGCTAAATTTTAACCTGACAGGTTCTTAAAAACCAGGTCCTTAGTTGCGGGTTTTTACTGTATATGTAAATCATACAGTACCAATGGCAAGATGATGAACTAAAATTAATGTGAAGGAGATCATTAAAGTTATAAACACAGCATTGTTGCACAATCCCTAAAAAAGATGTGAACTGAACATTTTTCCTGCTTTCTTTTCGCATCTATAACTGCAATGACTTTCTGAACATTAATTAAATACATTATAAATTGTTATTACCATATGTGAATAGTCCTCGGTACAACTCCAGTTCATTATGTCTTTTAAATATTGTGTAACTGGCACCTTTACATTTTCATCCTGAAAAGCAAAGTTTAGTCTACTGTATCAAATTATGGACACATGGTTTTTCAAGAGCAAAACAAGCTGCAGCTTACTATGGCCATGGCTTGCATAAGACAGTCACGGAACATGGCTTTATTATTAAAAAGAAAACTGCTTGTATTAATGCTTCACAGCTTAGAGGCCAACCAGTCCATTGAAATGTCAATGCAATCTGTTTTGGCACCTCATTTTGTAGTTATCACATTTCCAACAGGAAAATGTTGTAGTTAATTATTTATCTCAGGTAATTTTTGTTTTTCTTTTGTTTTGGGGGATGGTAATGTATGCTAATGAAGTAGAAACAAAAGAAAAATAAAAATTACCTGAGATAAAAAATTGTCTACAACAAAAATTTGCCTCTCTCCTGTAGCACTCTAACAACTCTTCTTCTTCTTTTTGCTGACTCTTTCTTTTTGAAAAGTTTGAAACTTTTCCATGTGCTTGCCATTTTTCACTTTCAGTGAATGGACAGGAGCAAATGGAAGTTTGTGGGCTACAGTAACAAAACAGTGCACGTGCAGCAGTCATTCACAGCTTCAGCAAGCTGCAGGCAATGTTTAAGTCCACTTAAACAAACACTTTCACGTCCAAGGTAAGTCATCCCTTGGATAAGCACAGCCCAAAACTCCTAGGCCAAGATAAGCCATCGTTGAGCTGGCTGTGGGTTAGCTGTGAACTTACATTTTTTACCATTTATATGGGGTGATCACATGCATGTTATGTAAGCTGCTGCTTATTTTCTCTCATATAAACAACATTGATGTACAAAAAAAAATAGTCTGTTCCAGAACATATCCCTTTCATTTAGCTTCACAAATCACTGAGATAAAATAGGATAATGAAATAACTATCTATTCTAAATTTGCCATGGACTGAGGGGGTGGGGAACATGCGGCAATTGTGCAGAAAAATGTTGTGTTGTGCATGAAACCAAAGAGCACAGATAATAATAAGAAGCAACAACAACAAAATGAATACGGCATGAAGAAGAAATAGACTAGCTATTTGTAATAACTACCCATTTTAATACACACCGTTATCATAAGGAGGGAAACATTCGACGAATTTCATGCAGACTGCAAAACCCCGGGATTTCGTTGGCTATACTTAGATCAAGGATTTGTTTTAACAAAATGACTGCCAAGAACTTTCACAATTTGTTCAGCAGATTAGCAGTGATCAGCACTGGAAACACATTTCCTATCTTAACAAGAAAACGCTCGGTAAATTGTTCTAAAAACCCGCAACAAACATGAAATATTAATTTTCATCGCCTCACCTTCTCCACTGTCGAAGTGCTTGTTCTTAACGTTGTGATGCTAGTGGGAGTAACAGGCCCTTTGTGACTACTTTTTTTCGCTAGCTCTAGTTCTTCAGATAATTTTCTTTTCGGTAGAAAATCAAAATTCAGTAAAATTATTAAAACTATGATTAGAGTTGCCACAACGACATACACAGCACACTTCCACGAAGCCATGTTTTGCGAAAGCGTGAATTCAACCCCACCCCTGATAGAAACTTTGTCATTTACGTCATTAGAGTCCAGTCTATTGCGGGAACTCAATCAAAACAAACATGGCGACCTCCACTGTCCTTTCTAATTGGAAGGGTAGATGTTTATTTGAAGCGAGAGTTTTAGGAAGTTTTGCGAGTGGTTATAAGATCAGTAGCATGCTGAACAATTTCTTGAGGCCTGTTGTGTGTTTCAGCCGGAATTTTGCAATCAAAGTGACGTTTCCTTGGACTCAAAATAGCACAGGTTGGTGAGGTGACTTGCTGTTAACTGAATTACTGTTTTTGTCCCGTTTTCACGTTGTAGATAAGCTTAAAACCCATTCTCAGGTTAAACCAGGATTCAAACTAATTTGATTGAGAATTTCCTTTGTTTACAAGTGTAAATTATCTATAGGAAAAAAAGGAAATTCTGGTTGATACCGTGAACGGATGTTGCCTTAAAAACGGCACAGCACCCAGCAGGGGACGTTCCATTTTTTATCCGCCAGCCTCCCCACTGAAATCCTGCGATTTTTACCCGCGCTCAAAATTTTCCAAAGCCGAGAACCATCTGGTCATTTCATGTTCTGTTCGCTTTCATCAGATTTTTATCCCAAAGATCCATTTATTCACCGACTGTGTGGGTCAGTGCTTCTCTACCGTAAAATGAAGTTGGCACCTGAGTAAGTAATAGAAAGGTTACTTATACTTATAGCCTGAATTTTAGCCATCCCCTCGAATTGCATACTAGGCTGATTTAGCAACAGAACGGAAACATCAGTTGATGACGGTGCCAAAAAATCAAACAACTGGTTTGACCAATGGCAGAGGGGCAAATTGGGCATGGGAAGTCACATTTAGTCCTTTTTGGGCGCTTTCCCATTGTCAGCTGACATTCCCGTTCTGTTGCTAAATCAGGGTACTCTCGGCTTGAGTATGTCACTCGAGAGGATGGCTAAAATTAAAGCTAACTTGAACATAGCTCCATGTAAACTTTAATGGAGTAAAGAAGAGTCATGTTTTACGGGTCCAGTGGTGCACAACCCTTCAAAACAAAACCCAACGAAATTTACTTTTCCAACGGTTGCAACCAAAATACTGGGTGTAAAGTACAGGTCACATTTCATAGGTCAAGAGAAGAAGTCACTGCTCCCACGATAAATTACCAAACCACACAGGTTCCCCTTGATCTAAATGAGAATTTTGTTATGAAATTAGGGCTAGGAGACACTTTTACTGCTGTTCATTTATCTGTATCATGGTAACCTATACTCTGATCTTCAGAAAAGTGATCTATATTTTAGAGCCACCACATAATGACCTCAAATCGAACTTGATCTGATTAGTTTCCTAATCCTACAATGCAATAACTAGACATCAGGGCCATTCCATATTTTCAGCTGTCAAGCAGTCTGTAAAATACTCCTACCAAATACCATCTTGTAAAATGATCTATGAAATGAATGAATGAGCCTTCACATGTGTGAGTCTGGTTGCTAGCAATTTCTCTTTCTTGTAAAGGACCCGTTCTAGTTGCAGTTCTTCAAACTCTTTCAAGGTTGTGTTGACTATATATTATTTTCATTGATCCCCCTGTTAGCAAACAACCCACACATCAAGATTTTATGTTCTCTTGCAGGAGTAGGTTTCTTAAAAGAGAGAAAATTCATTGCATTTTATGTTATTACACTAAGTTGTCACTAAACAAGTCATCATACATGTTTCCAAGTTGTAAAAATAACCTTCTAATGATACAATTTTAATTTTCTTTCATTTTTCTCTCAAGAAAACCAACTTCTTTGTTTGTGTCACTTTCAGTAACTTACTTAAATTGTCTGTTTGTTTATTTTTTCCCTTTAAGTGGCCAACTAAATCCAAAGGAATTTCTTAAAACTGCAAAGGTATGCCTAATTAAATAACCTATGAACAAGGCAAACATGATTCAATCTTCATCATCAATTATTTGTCAAGCACATGTTCATATTATCAGAAAGACCAGTGTTGTGTGAGTGTGCAAAAATTGTCGATGACTACCATGCTGCTGAACCCATCATTGCTTTATTTCTGTGTACGGTGAAGGGTTGCAGTTTTTATGTGCAATTTGTTACAATTGTCACACACCAAAATGCCAATCAGGGCCCAGTATGTTGTTCGAAAGGTGGATAATGCTATCCAACAGGCCCCAGGTGTTCAAAAGTTGGATAGCACTATCCATCGGATAGATCACCATCCAACGGATAAATGTTAGCGAAACCAATTGCGCTATCCGGTGGATAGCTTTATCGACCTTTTGAAGATGAATCTCTATCCAGTGGATAACACAACTGGTTTCCCTATAACTGATCCACTTGATAGTGATCTAATAATTGTCCTTCAGATGGCGCTATCCAACTTTTTAAACAAGCAGGGCAAGATGTTTGTTTTGTAGACTTACTTAATTTGTTTCAAATTAAATGTATTTTCTTTGTGTTTTAGGACTGTATCATGATTATGAGTGGTTTAGTTTCTCAGATGGATCCTGATGGGATGATGAGTGATCTGTTAGGTGATAAAGTTAGTTGTAGCTCCTTGCAGCACTACTCATAACTAATCAGCAGTTGTTTCCGATGTAATTTGTCTGTGTGTTAAACATTGGACATCTTTCTACATTATATTGTCTTTGTCCTCTCTTTGTATTCACTTACTGGGAGCAGGATGCAAAGTGGACGCCTTCAAATGGCTGCCAATTATTGGACCTACTATTTACATAGGATGACTGTTATTGTGTTTGTTCAAACAGTCAAGAGTGTAGCCAGGAGCATTGTCAAGTACTGCATTCATGCTTCACCAAACAGACTGTATGTGGCCCAAGTGTTCTCATATAGATTTAAACGGGCCTCTTAAATTTTTTTTTTGGTGGAGGGGGGGGGGGGGGGGGGGCAGTGTGAGATGTCAGGAGTATGTGGTTGAGTAATTGGTATGCGTACGTACGATGATTGTGGTGGGTGGTTGGATTGGTGATGTGTTGTTTTGTAGTGGGGTTGTGTGGTTGTTTGGTGGGTGTGGGGGGGGGGGGGGGGGGGGGGGGGGGGGTGCTAACATTGTTGATAATGTCCCATAACTTAAGGTGACTGTTGGTATTTTTTTTTCTGATGATTTTTTTTTAGGTCCAAGACTAGATAAGATTTTCAAAGATGCATTTGCAACAATATTAGAAAATAACTTAATCTTACGTCTGGTAAGCAAAAATGTGTTCGTCTTCAATATTAAGCCACTAGTCATCATCTACTAGTGTTATGATCAACTCAGAATATTATAAAAATTTAATGCTTTCACTAGAGGAAAAGATTAATTTTCCTGGCTGTTATGGGTGGTGGTAAGTGGTTAAGATAAGTGCTTTAAAGCTGTTTTCCCACTTGAATTTTTTTAGTGCAAAGCAAAGTAAAGTTGAGCACCATACATTAGAGAAACAGTGAACATTTTTTTTAACAATCTCCATGTCACTGCTCGTAGCATAAAACTGATGGTCATCTGCATACACTGTGCATGTTGCGGTTAACATCAATATCATACAGTATCATACATATGTAAGATTTCTGATAAATGTTCCAAACGAGTGGCCCAAATGCTGACCCCTGAGGGCACCCCCTGGACACCATCTCCCATTCACTTACTACTGGCCCCAGTTTGACTCTATGAAAACGATCTGTAAAATAAGAGTCAGGCAGCTTGAAACTATTGTAGCTTACATGGCAAGTTTTCAATTTAGCTAACATGAGAGGGTGGTATAAGGATGGGTATAATAATTATAAAAGGCAGCTGCACATGTGCACAGGGGACCCATGATCATGGACTCACAGGGCTTACAGAGGCTGTACCCTTTTACTTCTATAAAAATATACTAATAATGTTATCATGTTAATTTTTATTTTATTATTTAATTTGGCTTTAGGAGGTGTCAAGTGTCTCAAATCTTCACATCGCAGGTAAATTGTACATTGATAACTGAATAATTGATAACTGAATAATTGTTCTTAAAACTAAATAACGCAACCCCTCTAAAAAAACTGACAATACCATCAACAGTAGATATCCCATAGCATAATAAGTATTAAACGAGCACCATGTTGTATCCTTGAAACATAGCATACCAAGTAGGTGTATAACGCTAATAGAAAAGTGGCTGGGGTGGGGGGAGTTAATCTCTTTGGAGATGTCCTCTTAACCTCAGGAAATCAAAATGGTTATATTGTCACAAGAACTGCCTCTTACCCCCATATATCCCTCTCATCCAGCTTAAAAAATTTGGGGTTTAAGTTAGCTTCATCGCATATCCATCTTTTAAGAAACTTCTATATGAGAGCTAGAATAAGTTTGTGCTTCCTTTCTTAAATGTATTGCTGAGATCCCTCAGACCTCCATTAGTTCGTGTGTTATCTTTTCATAATTTGGATTTTGGGATTTTATTTGAACACTGAAAGTCACATTGGACTATTTACCATCTTTCACTTGATGCATTTGTGTCTGATGGTATCATGTACCTTGAAATTTTTTCCCAATTACAGCTGTTCGCAATACTCTAGGGCCATCAGAGCCCAGCAGAGACTGTTATGTAAAGAATGGTCTGGGGCAGAGGTTATTTCTTGAGCCAGATCATATAGAAGAGCTAAAAGGAAGTAAGTCCCCCCACCCACCCAACCCTTCCCACACCTGTGTTACTAAGCACTGATTCATTAACTTGAAAGGAACATAATTATAGCTAGCTGCCATATAATTGGGTGTAAGGCTGAACATGATGAGTGACATGCATCATCTTGGAATGATATTCTTTTTGGTATCATTACTCAGTACTACTGTCAAACTTAACATAACCATTAACACCTGAAATATTTCAGGAAGACTCATTGTGTTATGACAAATCACAGCAAATTCTGGTGTTCACAGTTTTGCTTGTTTCACAGTAAAATGGGACCATCACTTCCTCCTCAGTAATCCTTCTTTCCCACCCTTATTTTTGCTCCATTGATTTCATTTTTCGTACCATTTTTATCTGGTTCCTATACAGGGGTTAGGGGCCAATGCAACATGAGTGAAAATTTTCGAAAGTGGATTCTGTGAAATACCATTTCCGCACTAGCCTTCTGGGTAAACAAATAAGAGGGCAAGTTTACAAAGGCTCAACTCTGTTTTTTCTAAACATACAAAAATAATCCTTGTTATTTAGACCTATTTCAGACTTCTGTTATGTGTGAAAGTGCCAGACCTTTTACATCAAACAGCCAGATGTTACACCTGGTCTCCAATCTCAAAAGGACCCTCTGTCCTATGTCTTGTATGTTTGTAGTTTCTGAGCTGTCCCAGTCTAGAAATAACCTTGAATGCCTGAAAGTTGTGCATGTAGGTTGGGTGAAACATCAGGTGATAAATAACCTTTTTTTGTCTCTTTCCTTTTCAAGGCATTCTTCTACCACCAGAGATACTTGGAAAATTTGTTCATAAATTTCAAATTGGCGTAAAGTTTGTGACAGAAGAAAAGTGAGTGTTGATTCTCATTTACGTAGATTATGAAACCATGATTTGAATCAGGTCACTTTGTCCTGCCAGATCAGTCTCTACCTAAATAGTATGCATGGCGGTAATTGAGCAAAAACTTTTGAAAAATAAAATGACAGGTGTAGCTGTAGCCTGACTCTCAGACGTCCGAGGTCGTTCGCAGCCCCTTCACTTCTGTCCTTCTCGAAGGGGCCGCAAACGACCTGGGACGTTTGAGAGTCAGGCTAGTGTGGCTTTTGGCTCATCAGGCAAACGTTGGGGAGTCTTGCAGACACACCCTCCGATGATTGATTAAGACTTATTAGTTGTAGTGAAAAGAGAACTCTTATAGTTATTTATTTTACTAGGGGTCGGGATGACCTTTTACGAAACTAGAAAACTGTTTATCTCGCTACTTAGTCTTTATGAAAGTGAATGGAGATCAGAATGAAACATGTGGGTATCATGGCTTAAAGGGCTACGGTTTGCAACACATGTGCATGTCAATAATTTATTATAGCACTTCTGTGTTGAATAGTAATGAGTTCATTTTTATTCGCACAGGTTTTACATCAGAACAAGTGATGGCCAAATAGTGCAAGGCTCAGAAAACTCAGCCATTTCACATCACATGTGGCTTTTTGAGTCTCCATTTTGTAAAGAGAGACTGCTCAGAAATGAATACCCACTATCATGGAGAGTGGTGGACATGGACCAGTGTGTGCAGTTTAGACTGCCTCTTTATAGACCACTTTCTTCCTACTTTGAAAATAAGCGGAACTTATAGGTGCTATTCACCAATATTCATTGTCAGAACGGTTCGCTTTTCTCCCCCTCCCCCTGCCCTTTTTGACACCTACTACACTGGACATGTAGGTGTATGAAAAAAACTCTGGAGGCACTAGAACTGATTAATGCTCTCTTGAAAAAGGTCCCTAACATAAGAAGAAATGTTTGTGTGACAAACAGATCACTTGTATCCAGGTGAATGGGAAGTACGTGTGCACATATCCTGGCCAGGTATTACATGGAAAGTCGACCCTTAATCTCCATAATGGACACCTCTCTACTATGAACAATTTCCTAATGTTCCAACAAAATTCTCCCATAAGAATTATCTTCTCACTGATAGTCTCTCAGTACTGTTAATCAATTAAGATGCAGTTAAAAGATGAAAGCCAGAATCTTTTTATAATATTAGTTATTGGACACTTCAAATAATTGTCAGCAGTGTCATCATCATGGTCAACTGACATCATCTTGGTGACCTCTCTTTAAAATTGACACGTTTCTAATATGGAAACTCTGCCTATAGAAATTCAACTGTATATACAACATACCCCTTCCACTTCCACATTATAACGACATTTAAGATCTAGTATGTTGATAAGTTCATGAGAATTTATTATGACCTTTCAATGAAAGCTCTGTGGCAGTGCTTTTGCATGGTACCATTAATTTTGTTCTTCAATTTTGACCAAAAAAAATAAAACTTGAATTTTTCTTTAATGTAGTTTTGGCTCATTTCATTGCTTGTTTGTTTGTTTGTTTGTTTTTTGTGGAAAGCACTCTCTAGAGGAAAATGATTAACAGGAATGAAGTGAATGGTACCTTAACTTAGGAAGGAAAACAATGAACCCCTGCGCACGCTATCATGAACACAAACCTGTTGAAATGTAGTTAGACTGTGAGCCATCCACACTTGAGGTGAATTTCCACTGTTGAGTAATTTTTACGTGTAAACACATGTAAATTGTATGCTTTAAATAAAATAGAGGCAACGTATAAAGTGTTGTGCATGGACAAAAAAGTTGATTGAGGTTTTCACTTTTATGTTTACACGGAACCTTTCATCTATTGCCTCTATTTTATTTACGAATGTAAATTTTACATGAGTATGTATGCTACAGTGGAAACGCACCTTAACGCAAGCAAGTACTAGAACACTTGACATGCCGAACAAAGGAAAAAGAGGTGTGAAACAGAATAACCATTGCCTAAAAGGAAACGGGTCATGATTCCCAGAGCTAGTGACCAGAAAATATTGTATTGTGACATGATTGGATGAAAACAACTTCCTGCAAAGGCGGATTAATTGTGGACATCAGCTAAGCTGCTTCTGCATGCAGACAGAACAGATTTTTTTTTATCCTGTGCTATAAGGATACTGCTAACCTGAGGTCTGGAAAGCTGTAGCATATTCTGCAGTATCCCACAGTTCATGTATGCAATATAGGCAATATATGCATGTATGTCCAACTCCCATTTTTCTGACAGGTAAGGGATTGTATACCATGTAACAAGGCAAGAACAGATACATCTTATCCTTCCTTGGATATCCTATGTCCTATTCACACCAACAAACCATGTTCATTTTTTTAAACCCGATTCTACGAAATAAAAATCTGATCAGTACGTATGAAGCAGGCCTTAGAGTGCATTGGTCACAATTGCTTCCCTTCAGTTGGGGGTAGGGGCACATTAATTCTCTTACTTAACAGTTTTACATCTAGAAAAACATTGTAAAGGGGCAGCACAAGCAAAGGTGTTTTAAGGTTTCTGCAAAAAACGGTAGCTTTCATTGAAACAAGGCCAAAACACATGGACATGCCCACGTGTTTTTAAACAAAAACTGACCTGCAAACTCTCTTAGTGATCTCCCTGGGCTCATATTGGGGGCGAGGTAAAGCAAAAAGAGCTTGCTCGCAGGCTAAACAAAAAATGTATTATGTGTTGAAGGGCTCTATAAAAGACATGTACAGCCAAACAACAGAAGCTAACAGCATTTAAAATTTATTCATCTTCCTTAGGGGCTGATCCAGGATTTTTCTTAGGAGGGAGTGCATCACTAAGAAATGGCGTAACTGACTGGTGACGTAAACAAATTTTAATACAGAATACCAGTTGTATCAGAAAGCTGCAGGTCATGTCAGGGGGGAGGTGTACACACCCCTGCACCCTCCCCCTTGATCCACCCCTTTTCCTCAGAAGCTACATGGCCTGTTTTCTTGAAAATCCCATGATTTGGTAACTTGTTCAGAGCAACATTTGCAACCGAATTATCTTTGGAAATGTGGTGAACAGTTGAACTGTCTTCTAACCAAACTTGCTTGGCAGAACAATCATCAAATTTGAACTTGACCTACTTATCTTTCAGTATCAATAAACCTGTGTTGGGAGTAAAGGACAGCATGTTATGGGGCTGGGCTATGTCACTCTGTTAGTATCAGAAAGAAACATCAGATTGGAAGAAATTTTGGGAAAAAGTTATCCTTGATCCAAAACTGAGGGATAGAGCCGGAATTTACATGTAAGGAGAATGGCTCAGAGCTCACATCACCTCAGAGCAACTGTGTTAACTGTCACTAATGAACACCGATATTATAATTATCAATAACTTATGTGCTGTAACAAGAAACTATTTTTTATACACCAATAATAAATAAATAATATATCTCTTTTTCTGAAATCATGTTGATTTACATTATTGCAATAATTATCTTCATAAATTATCCAGTTATTTGGGTCCACATGGTCTTTACTTAGTTAGCATCAACTCGCCCTCTCTCTTCTTGTGTACCACTGTCATTTAGCTGAGGACTTGAGCTTCCTATAGAAGGACATTGAGAGAAAACAGTAAATCTGTTATAATCTTAGGACATCCATTTGTCAGAACTGACGAGCCAGACCATTCCCTATGTAATGCGAATTTCATTTTTAATCAAAACTATCCAGCCAGATCAATCAAATCCCTTTGCACAATAGCCTGAATTTCATCCGATTACTTCGAGTCGTTATTAGTCCCTCAGTAACACGTTACTGTGGGAGCAATAATGACTCAAAGTAATCAGATGAAATTCAGGCTATATGCACAACAGATCGGAGATGGTTTTTAATCAAAACTGTCCTGAGACTAAAATAATCAATACACACAACGGAGATGGTTTGTCAGCAAAAACTCTTGCCAGTTACAACTTTTGGAGAGTGGCCTGAGCAAATTCATGAATGTGTAAAAGAGCAAAGCCAAAATATTGACCCCAATTCCTGAAAACCTTTTCAATTTTTTTTTTTTTTTTTTTTTTGCAAATCAGCAATTTATAACTTACTATTTACCATAACACTTTCGAAAAGAAATAATACCACTCCATATGCAGCCCCTCCCCGCTTAAATTTGAAAAGCATTAGACCTTGTATGATGAATTTGGGAATTTTAAGATAAACATACCGGAGGCACCTGTGGAGCTATTCTCAGATTCTCTGCTGCTGTTGCTAGCTGTAGGCGAGCTTCTCTTTCTAGTCATTACTGTGGGGGGAGAGGTGGGGGGTGAGTTATCACCCAGCTCATCAGGACTGATATGTACCAAGTGATACTCTCCCCCTCCACCAGGGGAGGAACCAGGCAGTGAACTGAAGGAAGGAAGATAGTCATCTGGTAATGGTAATGTTGAGTCTACCTTACAATCTGCCAAAAAAAACATGCATAATCATTTAACACTTTGAAGAAAACAAATATAATTATAATTATCATTTGTTTATTATATAAACTTTAAGGTTTTGCTAACCAGGGCTCAATTTAATAAAACCTTTATGACTGTAATAATATTTATTAATACAAGAGTAACCATTGTTTTAGAGTCTGAGTAAATTACCAACCCTTCAAGTTAAAGTTTTGCTTGGTCGCCACTTGGCAACCAACTCTTTTGGTTTAGGGAGATTTTTTTACAAATCAAGTCACCAGCTCCAGAATATTAGGTGCCCTGGCAACCAAAATGGTCACAACTTGGAGGGTTGATTACACTTGTAACGTTTTATTAAATTGATCCCAGAGTGAACAGGATCGACTTCCAGTTGGCAATAAGGCTTAAAGAAAACTGAGACTGAGCAATGCAAACCAAAAGATAACTGTGGGGGGAGGGGGGGAGTGAACCTTCCTATGGGTTCCTCTTACATCTAGCCCTCACTAGAAAGCCTCTTTACAAACAAGATAACTGTCTCAACTTCTCTAAAATCTTTGGAAAATTTCACAAAATTAATGATCGAAATGTTTGCATCATACAAAAAGCTTCGCTACAAAATGAATGCTATAATATAACTTGTACGTGTCATATAGCATCAATGAATTTCGGTAGACTTTCTCTTTTCATGTGAAGATACCTTGTGCAGGAACAGACTGAGTTACGTTGCTTAGCGACTGCAGAAGTTCTTCCTCAGTTGCAGAGTATCTCATTCTGTAGGTTTTATTGATAGTTGAAGCACGTTTTAGATCTGACAACAACTGAGAGCTCAACTGAAGACCTGCAAAATAGACGACAATGATGATATCATATTGTCAAAAATTAACAGACTCAGAGCCAAAATAATTTTAACAGAATTATGTTCAAGAGCAGAATACAGTCTTTTTGCTAAGCCTCATACCCAGACATCTCTCTCAATGAAAATTTGCGTAAAAGGAAGGCAGGAAGGAGAAAACGTCACCAGTTATGTACCTCACAAATCCGCAGGTTATCAAAATTTATAATAAGCGAAAGCCATGCACTTATTAGACTGCAAACTAGTCCATTGAGTTCTGTTTAAAATAACTGGCTACCTACTAATAATTTAAGAAATCTAAAATTTTTTATTACAGATAATATTAACATATTCTGCCCAACATTTCAGTTGTAAGGTATTACCTTCGCTTCCAACCAAAGAGGCGCTAGTGCTGGTTCTATGTACCTTCCGTTTAGTATCTTTATTTCGAGAGCTGAAAACAAATCAACAATTAGTGATTTTTTTTTTTATACTACAGGATTGGTGACTTACTTGGAGCAGGCTAACTAACTTACATAGAGCAAAGACCACCAACTCATGTTCAGAAAGGCGGGCAAATATAGTTAAAGTATTTTGGTAATTGAATATGGCAGCAGGGAGTAAGTATTTCCCTAGTCTGAATTTCAGCCCGTCACATCACGTATGGAGGGTAAAGGCATGTTCCTGTCAGTATTTTACAATTGTATCTCAGCTTTTCTATGTCCCTGTGGCAGTTTCAACCTGTCTTTGTGTCGGTTGTTGAAATTTCAGCTGCCTTATTTAGCTGTTTCAAAACCATGTTGCTTGTTGGAATTTTACCCTGAAAGGGCCTCACATTTTTCTGGATCAGGTGGAGAGAGGGGGCAACCTTCAATAGCCCCTACAGAAAACCACTTTTCCCACAATCAATAGCCACACAAAATGCCTTATGTGTATGAGGAGTTCTTAGAAGACAGACAAGCAAACAACAACTTTACTATACCGTGGAGTGTCTGTGTCCATTTCTGGTAAGTGATGAGGTACTGAAATGTCAGGTTCGGGACTAACACATCCTACGTCATGATCAGGAGCCATGCTACAAGCTGTGACTCCACCTGACAACATTGATCAAACAACACACACATTAGTATGAAGACTAGTCTCCCCAAACAACTAACTGGTAAGTTTCTTTGTTGGGTAGGGCATTATGCGGTGTAACAAAGGACAGCTGCAATAATTGTTATGATGAACATTTGCATTTGTTACATTCCAATAAGCAAAGGCTTTGTAATACAAAAACCAGTAAAAGGTGATACTGTTTTCAAGTTCAAAGTGTTGAACTTGAAAATGGCATCACAATGACACCACTTAACTTTTTTTTTTTTAAGCTCAAAGACAAAATCATTAAATATATATTTGTTTTGAGGGGCACATACTTCACACAACTCTAGGCAATAAGTTGGAATATCACTTCAGCAGTTTCTACTGGTTTATAGACTCAGCACAACAGTAGGTAATAAGTCATTACATCAAGACTTATCCATTTGAGGCAAAATGAAAGCTATACAGAAACAAACAAACTCAAGCTAACAATTCACACCAGCTTTTTTGGATGAAGCAGTATCCAAGCTTGGAAGTGAGGCACCTCTGCGATGAGGTCTGACGTTACCAGATTTTGACAACTTGTTTTGGCTGCCATTCAACAGCGATTCTAAAAAAGGGAGCAACGCATATGCATATAAACTTCTTAGCAGATAAAGTAACTGTCATAGTCATAGAGCCTGTGAGCAAGCTCTCCAGGGCACTCAGGCAGCAGGGCAGGAAAATGGAGGAGAGCTTGCAACTATGTCTCTGGAATTTGAATTCCATCTCCAATTCTCCTGTGGCTCCCCGTAGACTGAGCTGTCAGATTTCTGCGTGCCAATCAGCGCAAAGCGGAAATGAACACAAATGTAAACAAACATTGAAAAACATGTAGCAAGAGTAATGACATTTTTGCTAATGTCGTCTCCACCAATCAGCATTTCACATCGACTTTTTTGATGCCGATATTCAAATTCCAGAGACATAGTTGCAAGCTCTCCTTCCTTTTCTAATTCCTGCCCCCCTGCTAGAGCCACCCGGAGAGAGCTTGCTCCCAAGCTAACTGTCAAATAGAGACAGGCACAAACTTCATGCTCTCCTGATGATAGTCGATTAACTAAAGATGTTTCCCTAAACCCCCTCACTCCACCCCCTTCCCACCCCCGAAAAAAGACCCAACAAGATTAGTGGTTTTAATAAACCTTAAAATGGTACACGTTTAAACCTAGATCTCTCCTCAGCTATTCGTTCTCATGTCAATGTGGTTGTTGCTAGTGCTTTTCTGTGTTGTTGTTGATACACAATACAGTTAACTCTCCCCAAGACAAACACCTTTGGGACCAGCACTAAGTGATGTCCCTCTTGTAGGGAGTCAAATAAAGGGTCCATTTTACAGAGGTGTCCACTAAGAGAGAATTGACTGTATTACCAACAATGCAAACAGAGTGTTAAGCTTGGTAGTGAGTCATCATTAATTAGCATCTAGCACTCTACCTTCCAGGGCTTTAGCACTGTCAAGAGAAGCCGCAGCTGCTTTATGAGCCTCTGCCCGGTTTAAACAGCTCTGCAGCCTCTCCAACATGCTGTTGGTCTTCTCTAACCGCGCCCTCTTTTTCACCCTGTCTCTGTGTTTCATCCTCTCTTCATCCCCCCGCTTGGGCCATCCAACAAGAGTCACATATCTCCTGGACACTGCAGAAGCATTCCATCGCGAACCTCTTGGTCCCCTGTTGTCAAACCTTAGCAGATTTAGCAGCGCTCTTTCCTCTGCATCAATAACAGGACCCTGGTTAGAGGAATGACACGTAGCACAGCTTGCCTGAGAAGACGATCCATCTGGCTTCGCTTGCACTTCTTCACGCTGCTCAGGCATGCAGTTGATGTCAAAGAATTCCAGGTGAACGTCCTCAACGCTCCATGCTTCATTCTGATCTTTGTGCGGTGGAGCTGGCTGTTCTTCCCGCGGACTCTCAGAGCTGTGTAAACATTCAGGTGTGACAGCTTCCTCCTCTAGAGCCTCAACTGAAACCAAGATGCAGGCAAATGTCTGATGGAGCAGCTTTCAACATGTAACTTTAATTACATTACCTACTGTCATTACATTGCCAATCACGAAAATTTAATATACAACAGGACAATTAAAACTTAAAAAAGCTATTTAGCTTGTTTGCTGGTTCCAAGCAGGCAAAGAGAAGTTGAAAACGCTCAAGAGAAATTTGAAAACAATGCTTATGAAAATTTTGGAGGGATAACAAAAAAAATCATCATGGTATTTTTGAAAAAGGCCTATTCCTACCCTTGAAACAATTTGAATTTAAATTGCTTTAAAAATTTTAGTCTGCTATAATTTGTATAAATACTCTTTTTTAAGGGAAAAAAAATCAAGACCCTCAAAAACAAGTTAACAAGTAGGCCTTTCCCGATTGCGCTGAGCACCTTTTGAGCACTTTTTTGAGTTTGGAGCACTATTTTGCATTTTGAGCACCCTTAAGCACTTTTTCGCACTTTGGGCAACATTTGAGCAATATTTCACATTTCGAGCAAATTTCGATCAACATATGTCTTCTAAAACATTTTAAAGCAAAAACTGTGTGTCTAGAGGTAACTGTTCACAACTTTCAGCACTTTTTGAGCACTATTTTGAGATTTTGAGCACTTTTTGAGCACTTTTTAGCCATTTTTGCCAGCACTTTTTAAGGATTTTAAGAGCGCAATCGGGAAAGGCCTATTAACAAGGGAGATTTCTCATGATGTGAACACAAGCAGACCATCTGAACTGAGTTTAGGCAAAGGAGAGCATGATATTTTATGTCACACATTTACTGTAAATTTTCCTAACAGCTGTTTGGATGGTCTACCTGTGACATGAAAGATAAACTTGTAATGGTATGGTACGACAATTTTAATCTGCTTTGGTTGTTCATTCAAAGATTATGTCTACTTTCATCTCTTTATAAGCAGTTCAATATGATTCATTTCATATTTCAACTCATTTCATTTCCACCATCAGGTATATTACAAACTCACAATGACTTGCTCTCCAGTGAGCTTTATTAGCTCACTGGATAAAGTATTGAATATCTGTTCATTGCAAAGTCAGGATTTGATTCCCCATCAAGCCTGAATTTTTTTAGGTTCTTTTTTCAACCACTCAGGTTGTTCATTCTCCCGCAAAGATCAGGTTCACTTTCATGAATTTGTACTCTGTCTCTGCCAGGAAAAAAATCATGATTATATAACGTGTTTTCTTGAGAGGGAGGGGTGGGTGGGTAGTGAGATCAATACCTCTCAAAGACGAGTCCTCCTCACTGGCTTCCGGTTCAGAAGTGTCCTCTTCAGCCTCACCCCTCCCTTGCACTTCCTGTTCCTCTTCACCACTGTCTGCACAAATCTCCTCCTCATTTTCTTCTTCCTCCTCCTCCTCCTCATCACCATCTTCTTCATCTTCATTAGTGTCTCCATCAACCACCTCTTCACCTTCCTCCGATGCAGGCAGACTGGGACCTAATATAAAATTGTATTGATAGACAGAGTCTAATATTAAAGATGGAACAAGGGATCAAGAAATGTGCAAGTTCCTGTAAGGATATGCACTTATAGAAGTTGACAGTCATAGTTTGGCTATATTAGATGGACTGGTGAACAAATCAAGAAAAATTTTCCAGTATCTGCACTCTTATGGATAAAAGAAACCATACCATAACTTAGATTGATATAATAATCAACTGCCTAGAAAAGGCAACTAAAGTTGGTCATCCAACAATGTCAGACTAAAATATATCCAATTTCAGGAAAAAATCCATCAGTTGGGACATAATGACCACACAGATCGCATACTTAAGACTATCACTTCCATAAGGCTTCCGTTTACAACAGGACGTAAGTCAAAGAAATACAAAGTCGGCAAAATGTGAGAATGACTACTTTTCTGGTTTGTCTGATTAACAACCTGGTTGGTCATGCCAAATGTTATTTACAAGCCTGCTGAGGCGTGTAGGAAAAGAATCTTATTACATGTAAAAGTTGTGTCTGCTATTAGAAGTTGTACTCGAGAGAGAAGGTCACAATACCTGAGGCAGTTTCTACATCCACAGCAGTGTGTACTGTAACACGTGGCCTTGCAGACTGTCCTTGCCTCACTACTACCTGTGAGTCACCTTGTTGCCTAGTAACCACAAGGTCATTGTCATCCTCAATATTGTCCAGCGATTGTTCTAGCAGTGACACATAACTAGTGTCCGAGATGCTTCCAGCAGCTGCAGCTGCTGCCGCTGCTGATGCTGCTGTAGATGGGTGATTCCTGGACAGTTCAATAGCAAGTCGCTGCAATAGAGAGAAGAAACACAGTGACTGGATGCTTTAGTAGATTAGTATTTCACCGAAACAATCTGGCTGATTCGAGTTGATTCAAGAAACCACACTGATCACAAAGGGTACCTTATATTATCCTACGCTTGTTTTTCCAAAATTCCTGTGTACACTGTATGCCACAACATACGTTAAATATTGATGAATGTGTCAAAAGGTAAATTGGCTCTTACCTCCTTTAAATCATTAATCTGTTGGATGTACTGAGTTTGGCCAGTCTCCAGTTGGTTGATATACCTATTGCACAAATCAATTAATTTTATAATCAATATACTTACTAAACATATAGAAAAGAACAATAAAATATTACAAGAAGTAGAATTAGATCAGAAAATGATGCCAACAATTTGACAACTACATTTTATGTGCAAATCATCATCACCCACAGCACCTTACATAGTAATGTTACAGCACCCTCTAACCTAAAGTGGTCTGCACAAGCAATAATACAGCATAATAGACAAGAAAATAAACATACCACTGCTGATCTCTACACTTCTGGTAGAATGTTGGGGGTCTCACTTGAAATCTCAAAATCAATGTATCATTAGCTATGTTTAGGTAGCCTTCACTTCCCTAGAGAAAATTTTGATCATCATTAGCAGAGTCACAATATGCTCAACGCATACAACAATGTACATAAACATGATTAACCTATTGCCCCGCCTTGGGCATGTTACAGAATGATAACTAAGTGTGCAGTTTATACACAAGTACAGATTACACAAAGATACGTCAAACCTACCAAGAGATCCAGCCGAAAAAACCTGTTATAACCCCAGCATTCACCAACTTCAAAGTCAGATGCTACAATGAAGAGAGAGAGAGAGAAAAAAAAAGATATTTATGGCATAATACTTTCTTCCTTAGTGTTTTGGTTATCTTGTGGATTACAATACAATAATAAGAAAATCTGCCTCACTTCACGGTGAAGAGTCTAAAACAGTTACAAATATAGACCACCAGCTGTGTGTGACAGTAGTTCTAAAACAAAGGCTTAACGTTTCCCTCCATGTAAATTAACAATTTCTTATTAGATCCCTTGAAACTCACCAAATTCCCTCACAATATTCTTGCTGGAGTCTGGAGAGGCATGGTGTATCATTTCAACACGGTACTCATATCTAAATAATAAACAAATAATGACAAAAAATTATCGTACTATAAAGGATAGAAGAAAAATATGTTTTTAAGAAACTTCACATGGTGGGCTTTCTCATTTACTGATTACATAACATTATGTAAAATGTACTTATAGGGGTTCTCATTTAGTTTTAAAGTAGACAATTAGAATGGAAAAGGAGGCGGCTTGCAATCTAGTGCTGAAAGCAATTTCAGGCTTTCACTCCCTCACTTCACTTTTTCCTCAAAAAGTAGGCAGCTCAAAATTCGAAGTAGCTGGATTTTTAGGCCAGTTGCCAGCACTTAATGAGAACCCTGACTTACAACTGCTGTCAGTCTAAAACAAAGATCAGTGACGAACAAGACGATGGAATAATTACTTGGATGTCTCTGGCAATCCAGCTGAAAGTTCCAAAAACACTGACAGGTAGTTACCTCTGACCACACCATTACCATCCTTAGAAAGAATGAAAAAACAACAATGATAAAAGTGAACACCTGAAACTCTTGCAGAATGGAATTAAAAGATTTTACAGGCAAGAGAAGTCACAAGTAAGTTAAGATGTATGCTCTCCTGCTCACAGAAATCACAAACTTACTGGATAAACTTTGAGTCTCCAGCTTAGACCACTGACATTTAGAGGCTCGCTATAAACAGGATCTGCCTTCCGCCGCAGTAAACTAAACATGTTTATAAATAACAAAGTACAATTGAACATGTTAATGTATCTTACATAATCATAGTTGTATTGTATAGAATATTATTTAAACAATTATTAGAATTCTCTTTTTCTTAATGCTATGAATCCATCTCCCATACAGTTATCAATAATATTGTTGGAATGATAGAACATAACGCAGCAAACAAAATGCAGCTAAGAGTTTTCTGCAGAGACATATAAATGATGGAAAATAACATTATTTTTCTAAAAACTAACCATAGCCTCTGCACTGAGAAGGACGTCAAGCCCTTCCTCTTACCAGTGGTTTCATAAGAAAGCAATTTATTTGTTCTCAAACCAACATCTTTTTCCTGATTTCCCTTCAATGCTTGTGATCTATTTTTAAATGTTAACAGCTTCATGCAGCTTGCTCTGATACCTTCTTAAGTCACTGAGCTGCTGCCAACCCCTTGAAACATTCCTTGATCTTTATGTTTTCACACCCTTACAACTTCCTACAGTGAACCTCGATGTAATGCAGGGCCAAGCTACTGGAAAAATCTGTTATCTATACCAAGGTTTCTTCAAAACCAGGTTCCTTTTCATATATTTAATATTTCTAGGGTAAAGAAAATCCTTCATTATACCGAGAACTTCACTATAGAGAGGTTTGTTATATGGAGGTTCCACTGTATAAGCATATTCAAATTACTTGAGCCAAAAGAGTTTAAATATATGTGGCTAAATGTAATTTAGGCAAGGTTAATCTCGAGCTAATGCTGCCAGTGGTCTCACCCAGTTTGCACATGATCCGTGGGGCGCCCCTTTGCAGTTCGCAGGGGCAAACTACGTACAGCCTTGCTTTCTAGCGATCGTTGCGATCAATGCTTTTGTGAGCGAATCTTTGTGGATTCATTAGCCCCACCCTCCCTTCCCAGAGGGCTTCTTGATTTCAGAGGTAAGTATCGGGTTAGGTAAGTATTTCCACTGGACTAGTTTCAGTGTGACGGTGCCTGTAAGCGGCTGCTACTGGGGTGGTTCCCGCTTGCCGGGTTGCCATGGAGACCTCCCTGCGGTGCCTGAATTATCTTGGGCCCTTCCCTGCTAACTTTTAAGGCACCAGTTCCCAAGCTCATCAATTGGCGATGAGTTTAAACAGCAAGTGATCATTGATGGCCTTATAATACAGCTTAGAGAAACAACATACCTGAAGTTTGTGATGCAGAATGTGCTAGTGTCATATCCAGGCACAATTTCACTAAAAATCAAGATAAAAATATTTACTCGTGAGGAAAAGAGCAAGAAGGAAGAGGAAAATGAGAAGGATGGGAAGCTAAGGAGGAGTTTGTGGAGGAGGAAGATATGGAGGAAGAGGAGGCAGGGGAGGAGAGGGGGGAGGAGGCAGGGTAAGAGAAAGGGAAAGGGTAAGACAGGGTTCGCCAATACGCCAAATTTGGCGTATTTTACGCCAAAATTGTTCAGATGACTCCACTGAGGTTACGGAGGGAGTCACTTCGACTCCAAAAATTTTTGGTAACAAAAAACTTTACGTTAATTGTAAACATTGTAAACCTTAATTATGTCATCGAAATTAAAGAATTATACACAACAAAACAGGAAGAGGGTAAACAGGTAAATTACGATCAAAGTTTACTCGATGATCGCCAGTGGATTTGAGCTTTCCAGGTCGGCGGACCACCACAGCTACTTCGTGTATCCCTCACGATAGTGTATACATGCCAGGACCACATGCTGGAAAGTCTGAAACTTGATTCCAGATATTCCAAAATGCCTCCAAAATTTGTAAAGCAGAAGTCAAACTGACTCCACTCATCAATAAAATTTGCAAACCCTGGTAAGAGGTAAAGAAGGAGGGAGAGGAAAAGGAGAAAGACGGGAAGCCAAGGAGGAGGTTGTGGAGGTGGGGGAGGACGAAGATATAGGGGAAGAGGAGGCAGAGGAGGAGAGGGAGTAGGAGGCAGGGTAAGAAAAGGGAAAAGGGAAAGAGGTAAAGAAGGAGGGAGAGGAAAAGGCAGACGAGAAAACAGAAAAAGATGCGGAGGATGTAGAGGGCAGTCAAGAGGAAAAGGGGATGAAAAGGGGGGTGGTAGGGGGGGAAAGGAGTGGGAAGGGCATGAGGTGAAAGAAGAGGTGGAGACAGATGAAAACTAGGATGAAGAGAAGAAAAGGAAGGGAGCAGAGGAGGAGGGCGAGGTGAAGGCTTAGGAGGAGAAAATTCAGGTGCTAGGCATTTGCTTGTAGAAAAATAAATTATTGTCAGTAGTTTCAAACAACTTTTTTTCAATATAAACGAGAGGTTGTCAAGGCAAAAAATAAATTGAACATGGCTTAAATAATAAAAATATTATTAATGAAACAAACCTGTTTCATCCACAAGAAGTTTCTGAATTTTTGAAAACTTACCTTGAAAAGTCAGCTGGTATTGGAGGGCTCACAAAAGATGCCATTGGCTTTCGATGAACCTGAGAATTTATCAAACATTGCTCGATTACAATCCTGTTAATCCATACAGTGTTCTTAGCTTAATCACAAATGAAGTTAAGACTTAGTCTAGCATTAATTTTTTTCAACAGACTTTTAAATGAAAACCACTGTAAATTATTTATGCATTTTGTACTTGTTTAAATAATACAGGTCCAATCCAGCATTATGAAGAGAGGAACAATGCTAATGAAAACACCACTGAAAATCATATAAATACCTGATTAAACATTTGCAGAAGTTCCCCACTTTTTGCAATCAGTTCACTTCTGGAACATGAGTGAAGCTAAAAAAAGAGAAAAAATCACATATTAATATACATACATTAATATTAATTTTTTAATGTCCACAGTACCAGAGTGATGTCCTCATCAACTATATGAGTGCTCAATAGTTAAACTGGAACATAATACAAGAAGACTGAAGAAGTTGGACTGAGTGGTCTTGAACATTTATGTTATTAAATTTCCCCTAAAGGTAATGAAAGCCAAGTTAATTACAAGTTTCTTCCAACTTCTAAAGCCACGATTGTGGTAACTGTACGTTCTGAGATACAAACCTGATGCTCAACTTCCTGTAACAATGATTCCAATAATTCTGTCTCCTGAGTTAGTGAGTTCTTTTGTCCTGTTTGTATGAAAGAAGCACTAACTCATTATTACTAACAAAGACACTGGAGTCCAAAACAATGCAATGGTGACAGGGCTAATACGTTAAACTTAACAGGGTTGAGGCTTGAAACAGGAAGAAAAGGGGCCATTACTTGGTTCCCTTAGTTAATGATTAATAACTACAAGATAACCTGCCTGAACCATTACCCATTGGGCAAGTATGCTTAAAAAGTTACTTGCCCAGCAAGAAAATCTAGTCACCCTGGATGACCACACAAGAAGGTATGGTGTGTCCCACTCAAAGTATGGTGTGCCCCTTCTTGCTAGTTCATGACTTACCCATAAGAGTCAGTAGTTTACTCTTCAGTTGAGTATCTAGCCTTGCTATCATCAATTCCACTGCATTACGGATTTCACGGACACGCTGCACAAGTGAGTAATAAAATAATAGAAAAATTTGTTTAATATAAACTGATATTGACATTAAACTCTTGATCATCCCTTACAATCTATTAATTATGCAACATATATATTACTGACCATTAAAAGTTATATCAGGTAACTAAAAAAGGCTGTGCTCTAAGGAAAATTGAAAGGCGCCCAGTGTTCAGATAATGTAAAATCTAGGGTGTCCAGCATATGATTTGTACAAAAAAGTAAGATTTTTTAGTAGCCCTGAGAACAAAAGTTAGGTTCTAGGGGCCACCGGGCTCTGCTAGAGCACAGCTCTGTAATATTACTTGTATAATTATTATTATACCTCCTCTTTAGCTTCTCGTAAACTTTCAACATTGCGCTCCTAGAAGGAAATTGATAATGATTATAATTAGTTAACTAGGACCCAAAGAGTAGTACAGATATAAATAATTAACAATTATTCCTCGAGCCCGAATGGGCTCTGAGTCAATAGCCCATGAGGCTGAAAGCCAAATGAGCTATTGACTCAGAGGTCGTGAGGGCAAGAGGAATAATTGTTTTAGTAAAATCCAACTAGTTGGTCAAAAATATCGAGAATAAAAAAATTTTAGCTAGTTAAAGCTAGACTTTAATCCTTCTTTGCTGCCAAAAAGCCCGCGCTGTTTGCTACTAGTGGGCTATAACATATAGCCTAGTAGTAGCTCAACCAATCAGAACACAGCATTGATAATAGACCACTAGTTGGATTTCACTAATATTGAATTATTCTAATATCTGCAACACATTCATATTCTGCAATAAAAGAGAATCCATTCCTCCTCCATGGAACAGGAAGTTTTTTTCCTTAGAACTCCCCCCCATCTGTCTGGAGATTCCCATTAAGCTTTCTACATTCCTTTTAATTTTTTGGTCTTTGATACCCCATCCTTCTGCAGGAATTCTGGTTCCTTCCATAAGGGGAGTATGGGGAATTTTTGGAACTACTGGAAATCCATCAAAGTTACAATAACAAAAGTAATAAAGACAAAGGTATTCGGTATAGAACTTGACTGATTTTGCAAACAAATCAACATACCACTTCTTGCACCAGGCTAATAAGTTCCATAAGTCTTCGCCTTAATGCAGCAACCTGAAACATAAAGACGTCACAGCAGCTCATCTTCAGATTCTGTCTAGATCAAAAACCCTCAAGGAATGGAAAAGAAGAATCACGGTTCTACATGTATTTACAGTCAACATAGACTAACTTCATTGCACCTCCCTATGAGTCATGGATCTTTTCTTTTGGGGCTACGTTCAATTATTAATATGCAGATTAATATATAGATTTAGCCAATTCAAAAGCAAAGCTCTTGTGGGAACTTTTAAGAATTTTTTTCTGAAGTTTTCTGTGCCTGCAGTCAGTTGAATGCTATGACTGGTCAACTGAACAACTGAACCCTGCAATACAGCCATGTGACACTGTTTAGTGGAGACCCTATTTTGACCGAGTCCTGTCAATTGATCATAACACAAATGTCCAATATCAAGTTAAATACAATTTTTTATTTTTTGTATATGCCCTGGACTTTTAAGCTGGTGAGTAAGATGTTTCACATCCCCTAACAGAAATGTGCGGACGTACGTACGGACAATTGTCAAACCAAAATTTCTTGGATGCACAGATAAACAAATTTCTTACCCATGGTGCTCTGGTGTGCACTTCGCAAGCACAAGAGCTCCACTAGGAATTTTGTTTGTTCAAGCATTTTATTGTCAGTAATAAATTCTAGAAAAGCATTGTGGCTGGACCTGACAGTGTCCACCTTTAAAGAGATGACTTATTCAGAAACCCACCTCATCAGTAATAGAGGAGACATGTTGGTCATACACTTCATCCAAAGGCTTGAATGTGTGTCCAGAGTGCTGTTCAAAATCGAACAAAACATTAGGTGAGGTAAAATTAACTATTGCTCAGTTATAACATTAATGCCTGAATTGCACATGGAGGTTGGGTGTCTAGGAACCTGGGGGCTGGATCTGCCGAACCCTAGTAGAACGAACACCCTAAAAGCCTGCCCTACCCATATACCCAGCCACGAGCCCCACCCGCCACACCCAGCTCTAGCCCAAGCACCTGTCACACTGAACCAAGAGTTCAGTGGAGAAATAAGGATGACTTATTATTATTATTATTATTATTATTATTGGGGTGAGGAGGGAGGGGAAAAAACACTAGAACTGTAAAACTACAAGCACAGGTAAATGTGCGCGCATAAATCGCAACAGTAAACTGCTGACCCAGGGGCACTGAAAATGGCCCCGCAACAGGCCTAGTACAGTAACGCAAACCTTGGCAAAAACGCCAGAGTATGGGATAACTGTAAGCTCGTCAAAGTACACCAATAAAATACTAACAAACGCAAACGCCATGCTAACGCCAAGCCAACCACTGAGCTGCTAGCTTCTCATCGTTAACTAAGTTAAATATTAAGTATGTTTAATCTCATTTATACAATGTATACATTTACTGTACCATTCCACCCCATAAGGCACACTGGTGACAGATACATTGTTTGCAGGTACTGCAGAAAACACTAAGCTTCTCATGGTGAATATCACATCTGCAACATAATAAAAACTTACTTCATGTAACGTCATCACACCCAAACTGAAGCAAGAGTTATACCCATTAGATCATAAATCATACTATATGAAGTACTTATAACACCCTGCCCCACTGTCTCACAGTGGAAAGTGTACATTATTATTGCATAATTTATGCACACTTGCCACAAAAACTACACAAATGATACAATAACCGCAACTCAAATAGTAGGGGGTACTTAAAAATTATATTGTGAACAGTACTAAATGATATAGCATGTTCAGTGTACATTTTAGTTTCACAAAAATTTCAGGTTGAAGAAACTTCAAACCAGTTGTTTCAAAAGGATTATGTTCTTATATAAAACATATTTTAAACTACAGCATGTTCAAAGGATTGACCAAATTCCTGTTTTCTGACACAGACATACAATCAAGTTAATTACACTTACTGCAAAACAAAAAGTAAATTTAACTGACATTACATAAAGAATAATTGTTAGAAAACAAAAAGAACTTATGGGTACATATTACTTTCGACTAATAACACCTTAAGAACCATAACTTTTGAAAATGTACTATTATTTATACAAAATAGACATTGAATAATACAATGAACTACCATACTTATCTACAAAAGAAGTCCTCTTTAGCTGAAATGTCCATGACCAGACATATATATGCACTGACCGATTTACTAAGCCCACTAGTTCACGGCAGAAAAACATGATTATTCTTTCAATTCAATCATCAAAAATCACCAAACTGAGAAATGTTTTCAGTGGACTGTAAATGGTTGATTGATACTTACTTGAATTTTTAATTTTGAGCCAAAGCTTGCACATACTATGTATAGTTTTCCATGGTTTGATTATGAAAATTGTCTGCCACTACATATACAGGTGCTGACTTTACATTTGAGAAAAAAATGTAACTGTTCCGTGTATTATCAATGTCTGATCTGAATGATGGTGTATACAGAATCACTTCATTTTATACAATAGCTTTGTGGCCTCGAAAATGAGTGTAGATTCAAATTCAGAACCTAGCAAAGTGCATGTAGCTTTAGGCAACACCTGCTTTGTCAAGAAATGTTTCTTCTAATAAATTAAACCTATGCAAATTTTAACTTGAACGTGCTCTAATAACTTTGCAATCCCATTCTTAATTCTGAACTGACATTTAATTCAGCACCCACCTATCTTTATCTGCTTCATCCTTGGTTTTTGGAGGCCCAGTTAACTGAAGAGAATCCAGTTGCTGAAATTTATAACAGGAAAAAAGCTAAAAGTAAAGGGCAAGAATACTAAAAGCTAACTTGTATGAATTAACCATGTCCCTAAAACATGGCACATGTAGTGAAAAAATCTGAATTAACATAGATCAGACCGCTTTAATAGAAAGTCCATTTAGGAATTTAAGGTGGGCCACCAGACAGGCAATCTATTGATAGAATCTTTCAAGTCCCACACACTTCCTAATGAGTCTTATGCTTTTTATATCCACTAAAATGACATTTAACATTAATGAAAACTACACAATTTATACGCAGTTAGGAAATGACAACAATACTATTTTCCCACACAAGACGTACATATATTATATTGTCACTTAACAATCAGTTAGAATCTTTATTTAAACTCACTTACAATATAGAGCAACTTGGTGCTACATGTAGTTTGAGGAAGCTAAAACTATTGAAGTTAAATGCTAAATACAAAATGCCTAAAATACTTTACACTAAAATAAAACAAAATTAAGCAGCATAAGAGATATGAATTAGACAAATCACAGAAAAAAAAGGCATTAAAAAAAAGGCAATACTACTTACCGTATTTATTCGACTATAAGCCGAGCGATTTTTACACAAATTAAAACTTATAGTCGAATAAATATGGTACGTAAGGTGCAAGGCAACTAGAAAATAGGGATCATTTTATGTTCCTGGGAAACTGCCCACCTACCCCTCCCCTAAACCAACATTAATGCTTACTTCTTACTTAGGACAAAATGTTGGCTTAGGGGAGGGGTTGGTGGGCAGTAAAAATGATCCGAAAATAGCTAAAAAGCCAATCTAGCTAGGAGGCATTATGGATTAAATAAGGATATTAAAGAGGTTGTTTCATGGAGGCACAAGAATATTAACACCCACATGAACTGCTCAAGCTTGCGCCCTAAATATCTAACTAATTTTAGTCCATACGATGTTGTAACAAACAGCGCTTCTTTAACACACTGCTAACTTGATTTCAATAAAAAGGCTCTAAACAAGGACAAAGTAAATGCATGTGTTGACTTTTTGAAGGGTTTAATATGGTGCATGTATTGTTAGAAATGAAAACAGGAACTGTGAATTTTGTGGATAAATTTAAACTTGTGTGATCTGTCTGTGATTTTCTGAAAAATTGTATTTCTAGCAGTGATGAAATGGCCTCAGGTAAAATGTGACGGGAAGTCTCTACTAGCAGCTGTAAATGACTGTACTCACCATCAGACATCTCTGAGAAATTGAGAACTGGCATTACTTTTGGATATTTGGTGATGGTTAAAAGTTTGAATTCAAATACCATAAAATTCCGAAAATAAACCTCTCCATGTATAAGCCCCTCCAAATATAAGCTCCCCAAAATCGTTACGCAAAAAACCCTCTGTTAAATCGCCCCTCCAAATATAAACCCCCCGGAGGGCTTGTACTTGGAATTTGCCCTCCAATACAAAGTAAAACAAAGCAAAAATGGTAAATTTCCTTCCAACTACAAGCTAGCCCAATCAATTTTGAAATGCAAATTTCCCTCCGTACATAAGCCCATCCGAATATAAGCCCCTCCAAAAATAAGCCCCTCACAAAGGGCCTTTGAAAAATATAAGCCCCGGGGCTTATTATCGGAATTTTACGGTATGTTTTGCATTTACTGGTTTTTCTTTAGGCTTCAAATTGTCATAATAAATCCAACTGATTTCAACACAACCCGGAGGAGGGCTTATATCCAGCTGGGTTTATAATCAGATGTTTATTATTATTATCATTACTTCTATAAATTATTATCGTATATTATTCTCAGCGTGAAAAGAAAGTGGTGCCTGATAGCCCAGGACTGGTGGATTTTCCTACTGTCTGGGCTGGTGAATTCTGTTGGGCAAGTTAGGTTTTTTGGGGTGTTCAAATTACAGAAGAACTGTAATCAATCCTGCTGATCATCCTGTTCAAAAAAAATTTTTTCGGGCTAGTTAGAATGACTCTTGGGCTAGTACATTCTAGCTACAGCTTGCCGGAATGACAAGCTGTAAAACTGAATATCGTTGCACCCTGATTCTTCTTATTATTATTCTTGTTATAACAATTATTTAATAGCTAATGTGAAATTGTTTCACAGCTTTAACCTGCTACATGCCAAGCATCAATGAACAGTACAACACCTCACCTGTGTAACTTCTTCAACCCATCGACAATGAACGAGCTCATGAAGATGTAAAGAAGCTCTTTGCAGAAGAAAAGAAAATGATGATTATTATCTGACAGAATTGGACAATTCATAGGAATTTGATGCAAGACCTAACAAAAGTCAGCCCGGTTGCTGGCTTTAAGAAGATACTTTTCAAGTTTCTCCCAAGAATTATTGTGTTTATAAAACATGAGCTGTACATGAAATCAGTCATGTTCATGAACATGACTGGTTTCTAACAGATGAAATCCTGAGATTTCTTGCTTATATACCTTAAAGTAGAGATCCTTTAATTTCAGTGAGCCGGATGTGCAAAACATAATTTTACAATGTTTAAAAAGTAATAAAAAATGCTATTTTGTACCAAGAGTACCTGCAATGTGGACACTGGGGTCTTTGTTCTGTAAGCCATCGCTGGAGACAAAACACACAAAACATAAATCATGATTACATCTTACACAATAGCCTGAGAAAAATTTTTTTTTTATTATGTATAGATTTTACCTTGTACTTTTGTGTAAACTTTCTTTACATGCATGTTTTTCTCATGTAAATAGCACACAGTATAGCAGGTTTACACACATGTAATGCAACAATTCCCATGGCCTCAAGCAGAACAATATATATGTGCACACTTAATGTTGAAAACATTTAAGCCCGTACATAACACATACTCTGGACAATACCTATCCAAAATTATTAGCAACTTACAGTTATATGTTTCATTATCACAACTTTGAATTTCATTGCACACAGTCATTTAAATTGAAAGCTTCACAGAATACTCCAGTTTTCTATGTTACTTTCAATCCTCACTTAGGTAGCAGTCTCTGCTTTATAAGCTGTGTGTATTGTAGAGGCTGCATTTTCAATATAATTAAACACATTTCTGACAAGAGACACCTGCAAGCTTATCAGTACAAACAATCAGAAATCATTGCTGTGAACTGCACTTTTTTGGCAGTAACTTTTCAGCAAGTTTTGACTCCTGTAATATAGCTGGTTCCCTAAAGGTAAATCTGAGTTACTTAATGCATTTAAATACCAGACTTTAGGGCCAATGGGCAAAAATCCTGGCTCTACAGAATTTACAATTTGTATTTATTAATAAAAATTATGTCTAAAACATCTTTCAAAAATTTGCATTACTTAAGTTAGATCATGTTATTGATTATCAAATCAAAGCATTTGAAACATTTCGAAAACTAAACTAGTTCTTTTTCAAGATTTACTGTACATGTAAAAGCACATTGCAAAGACAAAAAAATTGTGATCAAAAATTTACAAAAAATTTTGCCGCTGGCCCCTGGTAGATTGTTTGGCAACAAGGGAATCTTGACTTTTAGCACTAAACTTGTATTAATAGTATCTAGGGGCATGCACATTATTACATGTCGAACTTAATTTGCATTTCTCTTCACAAAATTGTACATGTAGCACTACTCTTTGTCCGAATTTTTCAACTTCAATCTTGAAAATGGCGTCATGATGATACGGAAACATTGTTGGATTTTATCTGCATTATTTTTTTACTTGTGTTTACATCACAAAACCTCTACTTATTAGGATTGATTGACTTCTTGAAAATTGAGAAGAATGTTCATGATCATTTCACGGCATTCGCCCAGCTCACATCTTGTCAAGTTTCTCATACACGATTGATTTGTTAGCCAGACCATAAACACAAAGGGAAGGAATGTAATTCAATTCTCAGAAGCCATTTGTTGCGAAGAGTGTTGCATGGTGACACTAAAAACGGTTGTGTAGAAGCCTAACTTGAGAATCCTACAATGTACTGTAGCATACATGAACTACCATAAAATTACGAAAAATAAGCCCCTCCATGTATAAGCCCTCGAAATATAAGCCCCCCAAACTCCTAACTCAAAAAACCTTCCGTTAAATCGCCCCTCCAAATATAAGCCCCCCGGGGGGCTTGTACTTGGAAATTGTCGAGTAGTACAAATAAAACAGAGAAAAACAGTAAATTTCTTTCCAAAAATAAGGCTAGCCCAATCGATTTTGAAACGCAAATTTCCCTCTGTACATAAGCCCCTCCAAAAAAAATTTTCACCCAAAAGTCAACAGCTCAGACCTAAAAGTAGGCAGTTTTTTAGTTGGTTGCCCCGCATTTAATGAGAACCATGCTTATTTTCGCAATTTTACGTTATCTACACACCTAAGCACTAACTGTACTGTGGTATACAAACAAATTAAATTATTATTGTTCAAACATAACATTCAAGGCTTCAGTCAGTTATAAGAAAAATATTGTGAGGAGCCCAAAAACTCTAAACCTAACATGATCAATAATAATGACTATGATTATCCACCATGTGTAACCAGTCAGTGTAGAAAAAGGAAATGTTGTGGCAGAACTGTTGAATTGACAACTCACACGTACTTACCCTTATGCATAGAAAACAACACATTTTGGAACAATGTGGGCATAGCCTTGCATCTCGCAGCTTCTCCATACAGATGAAACATCTGAAGACCTCTGCTAAGCTCTGCAAAAAAAGGGCATGTGAGGTTTGAGGTCAAGTTGAGGGTAACTTAATCATCTAACGGCTGTCATTAATACAGTGAAACCTCTATTAAGCGGACCCCCAAGTTAGCGGACACCCTCCATTAAGCGGACACTAAGCTGGGTCCCGAAAGGAACGTCTGATATTTCCCTTTATAACGAACCCCTATTCAGCGCACACCTCTATTAAGTGGACGCGAACACTAAAATAAGGTGTATTTGGCTAATTTCTATTGTTAAAAACCTCTATTAAGAGGACACTGGACTGAACTGACAATAGTGGTATTGGATTACGTCCTTGAAATATGGACTGAAGTCATTTAATATTTTTGCATTGACAAACAAGTTAAAGTTGGTAGTGAAAGGTAATGAATTTGAACTCTGGACAGCTTCTTTAACAACATGCAACTTTATCACAGTACAGAGTAACCATTGAATGTTGATCATTAACAAACATTGCACAGTTTATACAACCTCTATTAAGCAGACGCCCTCGAAGGTGTCCCCTTAATAGAGGTTTCACCGTAGTCATTTACAATATCATTGTTGCTTGAATCAACAGTAACATGGCTGGTTCACATGACAGGTAAGCCAGGGGAATGACTTTGTAAATGCTAAAAGCCATACAAGAGAGAAACCTCTGCTCGCAGGGTAACCATTGTTCTAAAAGTAACGAAAGCCAAAACATAACATGAAGGGTGTGATCTGATTAGGCCTTCAGCCTCAATGGATGACACCCTCTTTGATCTGCATAATTCTTCATATTCGACTCAGCCTCGTCCACTAATTACTACCTAATTAATTTAATACATGATACTTACCCTAAGGAACCTAAACCTCTAAAGATCATGGGATGTTAAAAATATCACATACTGTAATACTCTTTTAGTAACATCCTGATAGCTTTAAATTTACTTCGCAATGTAAAGCATAATGAAATAAGATTACTATAAAATATTTTAAGTCCTATTTATGTATAGGTCAACTTCCAGTTTAGTACACTCTTACAAATACAGCTTTAACTAACGTTTATAGTGACATCAAAAAGCAACTTCAGCAATGACTGAAACACTTTTTTACCATTTTAGGACGATCGTGTCTCGAGACCAGAGTTTACGAAGACCTACCATGTAAAGCCAACTCAAGTTTAATTTTCGATTACCCTGACAAGAAAATCAAACCAGTACGTATCACCCGGCGAGACCGTCTACCATAAGTGGTTGTTTTGTCAAAGAATTCGATAAACCTATCGTTTTCCACTCAAGCTATCAAGAGCAATAGTTTATCACGTATTTCGTTGAGGTTAAATAAGTTAAACACGCATTTCTAGGTTCGAAACCTCTGCTCAAAACAACGTAAGTTAAGTTTAAGTCTATGGTTCGATCTACAGATCTGTATGTAGCTAAAGATTTGTAAGTGGCAATTTGTATTTGATTTTACATGAGTGAAGACGTAAACACAAATTACCTCTACTGATCCCTCGTCCATTTTGACAGCTTTCCTATGAGGTATCTTTTTCGCCTTCCAGTGAGATTTCTTCTGTCAAAAAGAAGACGAAAACAAGTACATACTCTAACCTAAGATCAAGCTGTTTAGCGCTAAAAAATCATTACAAATTTATAGCTTGTTCCCAACGCTCCAACACAACGCTCCTCTTGTTTGGCTTAGATAGCACGTGATCATATGTCGTAATGTCATTGGCTGCCTGAAAAACAGAGGGAAACGACGCCAGTTTTGAACTTTCTGCTAATAACGCTGCTTTCGGCAAAAAGTCAAAAAAAAGAAAATTTTTGGTGAATATTTCCAAGAGTCTTGCGATGGTTGAACCCCACAAATAAGTTCTCTATCTGTGGGATATCACGAGAGGCCCACGCGCGTGACACTCGCGTTTTCTCTCGAAGCTCGACGCTCGAATGAGGAAACTTACCCTGCGAACAGAGTCTCCTTCGATCTTCGTAGATAAGTAGAGGAAACCATAATCTGTTCTAAAGATATACTACTTTTATTATACAGAAATTCAATTTAAATGATGAAGATTCTTATTCTCATCGATAATTTGACAAATGGTACCCTGGGTGCCCGGCGAGACTTTCACTCGCGTTTCCGGTTCCGGTCATTCTGCCGCAAGAAAAAACTTTGGTACCTAGGGAAGGCAAATAGTTTGCCCCGCCTACTACTCTTCCTCCCTGTAAAACCAATACCTGATGGAGTTGAGGAGAGAGCCATATTTGTCAAACTTGTCTTCCGTCCCTGATCTGAACTGGAATTAGGTCTCAGAAGGTAACGATAGTCACGTTTTTCGTTGTTAAAACAAGTTGTAATTGACCAGTTAAAAGTTCAGTTAATTGACTTTACATTTTCTTGTAATGTTTGTTTATTTGGCTCTGTGTTGATCTGCAGAAAACGTAAATGAAATGTGCCAAACGTGCACTTCTAGTGCAACTCCTTAATAAACCTCAATTGTTCTTGTTGTTGTTAATTTTTTTTCGTCAGTAGTCTCCTACAAAAAATTCCTTTGCTAATATGGAAAAATGAATGGTTCACCAATTAATTTTGATTAGCCTTGCAACTTCTAGCACAGTTTCAAAACATTATATACTGATTGACAACTGTCAAGAGAAAACGAAAACAACCAATCAGTTATCAGAAATTTAATCACGTGGTGTCCTCCCGCCTTATTTAAATTTTGCTTTCCGCCCGGTTGTCGGCAGACAGGCAAAGAAGAGTGAAGGAGAGACAAGTTACCAAACGTTTAGAGCAAAAAAGACACGAAAAAGGCTTTTTAACAGGTTTCATTTGCCAGCGTATCGGCAGAATGAAAGAAAACGTTATGGAAAGGGCCTCAAGAGCGCTCAAAGCAATATTCCAACAGAAAAAATAGTGAAAAAGGTGTGTGCGTTTACTCACTTTGTAAAGTTGTTGTCAAGTTGCAATGTAAAGAGCAGTGTATGACCAAAAAACCATTTTTTCGTACCACACTGCAGCTGTTTCTAAGCATTATATTTATCAACATAAGACAACAGTTATTAACTAAAGCCCAGTTGTTTGTTTTTTCCAGAAATCATCAGTGCGAACGAAAAATTTCAAAAGAAAGACGACTTAGTTGCATTTGACACGACTTTCGCGCGTGCTTGTGGCGGGAAAGTAATAGAGGTATAAGGACTTGTTTGTCTTCTTTTTATTTCACTCTTAAACCATTCTTTTCAGTTTTCGCTTTAAAAAAATAATTGAAGAAGTCTGTTTAATATCGTTCTTTTGCAATATTTTTAAGACAACGAATTAAAAGACGAATGAAGAACGTACGAACACTTTACAATTTTTAGCAACACTGGGCTTTTAGACTGTGAAAAAGTAAGTCTTATGTGTTCCAAGTTATTTAACACCAACGCAAAATATAATATTAAATAGTTTCAGTTGCGGAGATGAAAGGGCAAACTGAAGACGACTGAATACTATTTCATTTTACCTGAATTTTATGCAGTTTCAAAGTAAAAGAGGGACATTATTTATGCAGCAACATCATTGAAAGAAAAAAATCATTCTAACATACCACACTTTTTCTGTTAATGACAGTTCGGTAAGACCATCCATAATTAAAATCATAACGACGCAAACTGAATGCGAACTTTTATCAGAAAAAATTTTCTCATAAATAATTTTCCCGGGCAGGAAAAGGCCGTATGTTGTTGTTGTTGTTGTTTTTATTGAAGTTATTTATACCGAAACACATGCAAGGGGTGACTCCAAGAGATTAACAAAAAAATGTTCTTACCTTTTTATCACTAGGTACATGTCTTTTTTAATCTCTCTCTTAATCTCGTTTCTTTTCAGCTTTCAAATGTTTGCTATTCCAAATTTCAGCTCTCCATGAAAACCGACCGAACCACAGGTAGCCCAAAACCCAGTACAGACAACCTATCCACGCATCCACATTCCGCAAAACAGCCGAACCCAGATAGCTCTCTAAAACAGACGCGTTGATTACACTGGTCAGTCACATACGAAGGGTAGTAGGAGTGTAAGAGCTGGTTGGGTATGGTCAAACTGACGACAAACAGCTACGTATGAATTACAGTGTTATCACTTAAAGCCTGTGCTTGTAAAGAGTAAATTCGTGAAGGGGTAATCATAGAACTATTTTTACCGCTGGTTGAACCTAACAAATCATTATCTCAACACAGGGCCTTATTTAACTGATCCAAGGTCTGGTAAAGCTCCGTTTTTTCTTTTACTTTGAGTTCCTTTGCAGGTCATTCGATCACCGACTTGATTGCCGCCTTTTTTTCGAATATCCGGCTTTACCGCCACTTTCTTTCCATCTTCGACATCTTCGGTTTGGATAATCTTCCCCACCGTCGTTGACATCGCCCCCTTCATAATAGACTGCGCAGCGTTGTTGCTCCAAATTGAATTTATAATTTTATATACTACATTTAACCTGACAGACTAGGCTCTGGGCAAGTGAAGCTATTATTCATAAGGTGCAACCTACTTTTTCTTGGAACATAACTTAGAGAACAAGAAACGGGGGACTATTCCACTCGTGTGCTGTAGGGCAACTCCCCGCAAGCTTAGTGGTTTCTCTAGTTGCAGACAGATAGCGAGTATAGCTAGCCAAAATTTGGTTGAGCTTTCACCGCTTTTAAACAACTTCACATTGGAATTCATCACTTGACCCTAGAAAAAGAAAAAAGATAGGCAAACTCCCTTACAAGTGGTGAACAATCAAAAGGGATCCCACGATATTGAACTCTGTCCGCAGTTATACAAACAGAGGTGTTCACTCCTCTTATACACCGCTAGTTTGCGAAAGTGAGATCAGTTAGAGGGCTCATACATTTTAGGTATTAAGATGTATGATAGTTTTATCCGTTTCAAAAGTTGTCTTTCTGAAACACAGGAAATTACACATATTGACTGATCATTGGGTTTCCTCTCTAAGTTACATGCGGTGTACAGCAGGGCTATATTTTGGGACAAGTGTTCAGGTACTGTCTGTAAAGTAATACGTACTTGACATCAAAATAAACCTAGGAATTTCCAGGCAGATTTTAGAGCCATGCCTCTCTAAAACCTGCCATAAATATCCAAAAGGGTATCGTTTAAAAGAGAGACCTGCGGCTGCGACATCTTTCCATTTCCTTTTCACTTCTTCAAAAAGTACAAAGACCGAGTAGGGAACTAAAACCAGTTTTCAATCCGTCGGCGGGGGAAGGGGCAAAGGTTTGCCTCGGTGTAACATGAATTCAAAGAAATACTTCAGGTACTCAATACCCTTAACGGTGAAAAGCCGAACTGAATCGCATTTCCGACACACATAGCCAATACAAGGTAAACTCCTTTACGAAGTGAGCCGTAATCCAAATGTCCGTTTACTTTGACTTTTGCTCTTATTTTGAAGTTAATTGCTTTCATATGGACATACTGAGATCACAACTCACTAAGCGATCTACGCACCACGCAAATTTCTACTTTCTAAACCTCACTTCGCCAGACCCTTCGAGCCTCGCTTGGCGAAAAAATTACCCCTACAGTATGCAATAACGACTCTCTGTTATATATCACACGTTGGAGTTACATATCGTTTTTATTATATTATCTTTGCTAACTTTGAAGAATACAAGCAAAGTTAATTATGGTAAGATTTCTAAGTTGTTCTTTTCTTTTTTCTGAGAGCTTAGGTTGTATAATAGATAAAAGTTACATATTCAAAATACTTAGTACTATGTCATAAAATATACGAAAACTCTGAAATGTCAAACAGGATGAACGATAATTACAGGATAAATACATGAAGTAGTCTTGACGGGAACTGATAGAAGTATGATTTTTAAAAAAGTAATGAATATAATCAGAACATCCCATTCAGGTACTATTTCTGTGTATCAAAACGCGAGAAGGACGAACTTTTATACAACTAGCCTGCGCTTGAAAGGAAAGAGAAAGGGGATTCCTGGCGCACGAGAAGCGGGAAAGGCACGCGAGGGGGAGGAACGTCTGCCTTCTAGGCTATTATTGAACAGTCCATTTTTCCATCAAGAACAAACTTGATCATCTATAACCAAATGATAACGATTATCCTATTTTGATAAATTCTAATCATTATGTTTTGCCAACTTTTAAGCTGGGGAAGCAATTCAGCCAGGGGGTACAATAGGCTATTTCTGAATAGCCTTTACCCCCTTTTCAAAAGCTACACCTGGATCATATCCATCCTTTCACATGAAACTAAGCTTTGATAGAGAGGCTTGGGACAACTTAGAATGACATGAGCTATGAAGTGTTTTCCGGCTACTTGGGCAGGTCTCTGATAAAGTCTAATAATTATACAGTGAAACCCCGCCTTACCGCCACCTCGGTAATACGGCCACTTTTTATTGGCTGCCTGGCAAAACGGCCGTACATTTTCTTGTAAAAACCCCTCTTTAATTCGGGCACCCGTTAATAAGGCCAACTTTTTTTGCCCTATTGGTGACCGTATTAACGGAGTTCCACGGTAACTAGAAATTCCTTGATGACACACTAATATAAAAAGAATTCGATAAACGTTCGCCGTGCACATTGAAGAATTTGATCTATTCTTTGAAGACAAAAAAGATCCTCCAAAACAGAAAATCAGGGTTCAAAAAAAACCTTTTGCCCCCCGCCCTGCCCCATTAAGAGGGTACAGTGTACTCTAGTCCACCCACATGAGAGGACAAAGCAACCTATTTCTCCAGTGAATACTGACCAACCATTACAGCGGCTGAATAACTTTTATGTTTACAATCACAAATGTAAAAATAGTACAGCTTTTCAGTTTCATCAAGATTACTTAAAACAATGCTGTGTCTTTGTAGCTGGGTTTCTAATGAATGTAAATTGTGTCTTGGTTCGGCCAAATCAGCCTTTTTGGTGTAAATGATTTGATGATATAAAGACTGTATAACTTAAGCATATTACAAGATATGAATAATCCTTATTCTTACTTTTCTTTTTATTTGATTAAACCGCATTTCCAACAATACCAACTACTTTCTAAATTCCTAAATTCCATCACTAAATTTAGAACAGTTTTTAACCCTTTAAACCAACACGTTACAAGCAACTTATTTCTCCTTATAACTTCAACACCTGATCAAAATTTATGGTCATGAGAATAGACAATATGATCAATAAAGATAAACTGTTGTGCTCTATAAACGCTTGATGATATCAAGGCTCATAGAGCACAAGGACGTTTTGGATATCTGGAAGGTGTTTGTGTGCGCGTATGTGGTGAGTAGTGACTATCATAAAAAAATAAGTTAGCTACGCAAGCATCTGTACAGTAAGCACAATGGAAAATAACAAGAATCGCGGACATGTATGAATTCAAATGAATGGCTTCTATGCAGCCATTATTTAGGTCATCACGCAATCCTTCTCGAGGAGAAGCAAAAGCTGCACTGGAAACTAATTAATGGGATTCTGTTACATTTTTTGGATGTAATGTGTATAAGATGTGCTATGGTATTTTTTTACAAAAATCTGAATCTTGAAATAAGTATTCCATTGAGTAAATATTTTGATTTGTCAGTAAATACATTTGTAAAAACTTTGAAACACCAGTACCACTAATGTTATTTATCACTTAAAATCTCACTCAACCAGTAATATCTGGAGAGATTTACGGTTAAACGTAATGAAGAGTGTAAAGCTTTGGAGGATTGAAATACAAAGTGAACTGGAAATAATCTCTACGTCAGCACAGTCCACATGTTACATGTATCATGTACAAAACTTAGCTTTGAATGCACTTTTTTAACAAAAGGTTTACATAACCTGTACCAAGGCTTATGGGATTACTATTCCTACTTCAAATGACTGGAACAAAAATGACAGAAAAATTTACTGATATGTTGTGGGACCTGTAGCCAGTTGCCTTTTTATAAACTTTTAAGTTTCTTGTGTGGACCCAACCAAACAGCTGTACATGACAAATATACCTTTCCATATGTCACTATAAAAAAAGAGCAAAAGATAGCTTCACATAGCGGTTGACTAAAGGATAGCAATTTCTGTCATTTTCCGTATTTTCTGGTATTTTTTAACAAATAAATAACATGAACTAAGTTTCTTACATTCATGATTAATAGCCTCTGCACAAAAATGGAGCTTATTTCAATTCGAAATTATCACTCCTCACTATAAAGTTTTGCGTAAAATCATTCATATACTAAGTTACCATGGTGATGAGACACTGCCTTGCTATGTTGTTGTTTGTGGTGAAGTGTGTACTACAGGTGTATTTTCATCCTCTGTCTTTTTGGAAAACTTTGGTGAAAGTTTGGGAGATGGTACTGGTGAAATGTTCCCTTTATTTTCAAAGATACTGTTCTCCTTGGTACCATTTTCCGATGTGTTCACAGCTCTGTCACCAGAAGAAAGATCTTGGTCCACTTCAGTCAGTGCTATGCTAGACAAGGTGTCTGTAACAGATTCCACACATCTCTTATGGACATCCAAGAAGACAACAACAACTGAGATGTTGTCATTCGAGCCACCACTTTTAGCACTATCCACAAGCAGTTTAGCAACAGTTGATCTATCCCCTCCATCTGCAAGGTACTGAACTACTAATTCAACAGCTTCATCAGGCTTGACAACATCCCATAAACCGTCACACGCTAATATGAGAAAGTCTTCATCACCTATCCAAGAGAAAATTAACCAACATTATAAACACTGAATTTTGATTCTTTCCAGCCTGTTTTTTTCCTCATTATTTTAACTAGTGCCCCACAAAGGGCCTGTGTCCCTCCCTATCTTTCTCCTGTCAGACCTGCTTTTCTGGTTAACAACTTGCACTGGCTTATGAAAGACAACGGTGCCAATATACTTCTCAGAAAACTCTCTAAGCTTCTTAGATATTGCTCTTAGTTGTAAAAAACAACAAGTTTATATTGTATTATGACAACATCTGTTCACAGGTTCCATCATGTTCTAATGGGAGGAACACCTAAGTCAAAGTCTTAAAGGCCAAGTATTAATAACACTTTTTTGATGCAAAGTTCTACAATTCCCCAGACAGGGATGAAAACACTATATCCCTTACCCTCCTAAAAAATAATCATAGTTTAACAGAACCTCTATTGTAAGTAACAAAGTAACACTGTTCCTTGAACCTGCTTGACTGTGACGATAAACTAAGACAATACCGTCATCATTAAAATCCAGGTCTCTTTATCATGTACATAAGGCATACAAATTTACTTTAACAGCTTTGAAAATCTGTACAGGAAGACAATTTCGAACCAATAAAAAGGTATGAAACAAAAGAAACAGGGTCTTTTCAAAGGTCAAAAGTTCATCTCCGAAGCTCATGATGCATCCAAAATGGCCACGTTACCAGCAAAAATTCCGACCTATTGCGCAGGGAATCACGGGAAGACTGCATAATCCTCCTTTGGATGGTAATAACAGGGGCAAATATCTTGTCTTCCTTTTACTTTCCAGTTATGATGAAATTCATGTATTAGACGTTTCAAAACATGATTGATTCTTAAAATAACCATTACCTTCCAGATTGAACTCCTCCACATCAGGCTCTCCACTGATGTAAGGCTTGTGTTCAGCATCACCAATTGCACGTGATACTGAGAGACTTCCATTCACCCTCCATGCACCAAAATACACAACACATCCTCCAAGGGCCTCAATTCTCTGTCTTTCATCCTGGTGTTAAAAAAATGATAATTTACCAGAAGTCAATTGAAAACAAAAGCTAGTAAAAAGTGTCTCTTCTTCTTACAAGCTTTGGTAGGCCGGAGGGGCTGTGAAGACATCACGTAGAGATTTTTGCAGGGATGCTGCTGGTGATCAGTTATGCAGCTGGTTGGAGAGAAATGATAGCATGAAGCAAAATTGCAGTTCTTGCAGCTGATTTTGCCCAGTCAGTCAGGGCTGGTTTGCTTTTAACCATTACAACTGACTATAGGTGTTGTTAATGGGTGTGATAATGATCCATCACAACACTCTCCTACAGTACTGTCTTTTCTCATTTTGCCTCCTGCTTTCCTCCCAGATGCAATGGTACGTTTCTTGTCCCACATTGCAACACGATGTCTACAGACCCTATTATGACTAGGAGACACTGACTACTATCTCGGTTTTCATTTCCTCCAACCTTAATTTATGCCATAAATGACTGAGCAGTGATCAATATAATCTGGAGCAAAATAATAATGTATGGTTCACTATTAGGGTTTCTTAAACCTTACCTCTCTGTCTGGTTTGTGAGGGCTCATCAGCAGAGTGGGCTGCCCTGCTTTGCTGAGCACAACCTGTGAGTCTCCCAACCAAGCAACATAAAGTGTTTCACCCTTAATCAGGACGGCAACACCGGTGGAACCACTACGAAGACCCTAAAAAAGATCAGTAATGGGAACATTAATAGACTATCAAAATAGAGGCTTACAAGACCAGTCTCAAAGGTGGCATCAAATCTTTTAATTACATTTATTGGGCTGTGAAGAAATCATGTAAAGATTTTTGCAAGAGATGCTGCCAGTGATCAGTTACACAGCTAGTCGGGGAGAAATAGCATGAACCAAAGTTTCTGGGGATAGCAAGCCATACTATCAGTGTAGCTTCACTGCATGTAAACCCTGATCTTCAGATGCAAAGTTCAAGTAGTTCATACTAAAAATACATTGTCACAAAAACCTCGCGAATAAAGGGAAACAAGCAAAAGGGAAAAATGTGATAAAGAAATCTAAAACTAAACGGACAAAAAAATGTACAATGAAAACTAAAATATCTATGCAGAGATTGGAACCAGTACAACATGACTACCTCCTGCACAAGAAGACAGTTCCGACACAACTGGGCCAAGATGCCACTGAATATTGATAAATCGGTAAAATTATGACACTTAAAGCACTTTTCTCTGCCATACATGCTGTTTGACACTTGTGGAGCTCTATTATCATGAATTCAAAGATACATTTGAGGAAAACTAGCTTAAATGAGTATTTCAAAGCCATTTTGCAATATTTCCGTGTTAATTCACTCTCAGGCTTAATGGCCAATCGATGTATGGAGCTGAAGTGAAACATCGGTCACATTGATAGGCCGGGAATGAACCAATTTATTGTGGGTTTGCCTAGGTGTAACATAAATTCAAAGGCACAGATTTCAGGGAAAAGCAAGGTATTATAAATCCTAATATCAGTGGTATAGGTTAAGTAAGGTTTTGACGGTAAAAAGCTGAACTAAAACACTCTTGCGAAAAACAAACACATCCCATCACCTATCAAGCTATAATAGTCCAAATTGCTTCAATGTTCTCTGTAAAATACTTAATTGCTGTCAAAATTAATCAACAAAAGGATTTCACAATCACCAAAACGGCACAAAAACAGTCAAAACAACACCGTCAAATGCTCCTTGACATCAACCAGTTCAATGGAAGTATTGCCCGGAAACCAAAAAAAAAACCTGGACGAGACATCTGACTGAATGTGGTCAATTGGAGCTTAGTCGTAACATTGTTGTTAGGCAACTCCGGATACTAAACCAATAGAAATATTACCAAAGTAAGATTGCACTCTGCCAGTGATCCTTGTAAGAGCCACATATGATGCAAATCCAACAGATTTATTAACCTCGCTTTTGCAAGAAAATATGCAGCATGTCTATAATACAGCTTTACAGGCTATTTTTTTTGTACACTGTTCAGATAAAATAAATAATATTACTCCTTACCTCTCTTTTGGCTTTTGCTACAAAGCACTTGTCCGTCTTTTCAAAAGCCTCTTTTAAAGCCAATAATGGATCCTTTTCAAGGCATTTGTTTCTTGCAAGGTGACAGTGAAGGTGAGTTGCAGCATAGTTTGAAGCATCAACACCACTGTGACCATCATAAACAGCAAAGAAGGCCTGATTTGAGTGATCCTTTGGAAAAAAGAACACATTTCATTTTTTATTATATGATGACAGGTTAGGTTTCTGTTAAAATCATGAGCAACCCTGACAAAAGAAGGGATAAATGAACTACAGGCAAAGCTAAGATGGGGACCAAAGTAAGGGTAATAAAACCAAAAATTAACACACTGAAACATTGATTGCCCCACTAGTATGAGGGTAACCAGCTATTATGTTGACATAGTCATCTTGGCAGAACTTAATATGCATTTCATACACTCAGTCAACTCACTCTAAGATAGATTCATTCCAATAGTGAACACCATATTGCCTCTATCTTTTGCAATGTGTGTATGCCCACGCCCCACCTGGAAATCAGCTTTTGTTGTGTGTGGCTAGCATAGTCAAATAAATGTGTTGATGTTGGACACTGTCAGGAACAGCAATAGATGTCCATCTAAATTTCTTCACTACTTTTTTCATGTCGTAAAGGTTATCATTGGTCTTTCCTTTAACCCCAAATACTAAAGGAATTTGCCAGAAACCTTTTAGATTTCAGTGAGATTAAAATCACAAATTATGCCTTGGATAGCTGGCTACTTATAGAAAATAATCATTGCTCTTATACAGTGACAAGGTGGGTGATTCCAAGGGTAAGCTTGTTGAGTTCACTGTTCTGACTGGCTTTACACAGAGACAAATGTTTCAATCTCCTTTACCCTGACAGTTTTTAAAAGGCTAAAGACTTAATTAGGTAGAGTGAGTTTTTCATAAAGTTGTGGAAAGATAAATAAGAAAAAAATAGGGTAGTACTGTATAGTATTAATTTACATTAATTTATGAAAGGTAGAAGTACCTCTTGAAAACCAAAAAGATTATTAAACTGAGGGAGAATGACATGTTTATCTTCCATTTTTCTCCTTGTGTTTTTGATGGCATGAACACAGGATTCATATTTCATCTTTGACTTGCAAAAGGATGGATTTCCTTCATTCCACTGCTTGCAAACTTCAAGGACCTTGTTCATGACATCTTTGGCAATTTTGGAAGTGCTTAGTACTGTCACAGAAGGAAAGACTAAAAGTTAATCGCTGTATCATTAATATTATTATAAGAAAATTTCCTGTCAGTGGTAATCAGAGCTGCCATAAGGGCTGTAACCTGTAACACCTGTTAAGGCTGGGCTCACTTGATGTTACAGGTGATCAAAGTGGAAACTAAAGGTAACACTATAAATTTTTGTGAGATGTTAGGAGTGAATCTTCATTCGCTACAGCTGCTTCAAAACAGCCCTGGTAATACTGCAGTAACTGTAAATTATATAGAACGTATGAGTAGTGTCAAGATAACTAACCCTGGATTTTCACTAATCCTCCTCTGAACAACCTGGCCCTGGTGTTTATTTTGTTTTTCATGATTAGTGACCCTATTAGCACAGACTTAATGTAGTTTGACAAACCAAAAATTCACCACATGATTGCATGCTAACTAACATTTTCATACTGTACTTCTTTTCTTTGAGGAATTCAAAGTTGGGAAGTTAATTTATTTTTTGTGCTTTTTAGGATTTGCTACAGGAACGTTATCTATTTTTTCACGTTCATTCACCCATCCCTCAAAATAAAATATTGCTTGCTTGATCAGTACCAAGAGACAAGGATGTGATGTACATATAAAAATCCTCAGTTATCAAAACTTGTAGAGGTCCAAGAGACTACCACTTTGCCAATCTAAAAATACATCTCTCTATGTGGATCACAAAAAAATGATAATACAAAGGGTCTTATTGAAATTTCAATTTCCAGAGAATAAAAAAGTTCTAATGATTGATGACAAACATGAAAATACCTAGAAAAGCGCAAACAATTTTTAAGTACATATTTAAACAGGAAGTCGATAGCAAAGTTAAAAAAAGCATAAAAATAAAACCATTGTAAAACTTTTATTAAGCTCATAATTAAATAATTATAAGTGTGAGAGGAGGAGCCAAGAAAGGCTAGTGGAGCCGCACGAGAACTGTAGCTGAGTGCAATGTATAACAATAACAACCCTGTGAATGTTATATGGCATCCTTCCAGGCTATCTTCACTCCTTACCAGTGGAACCTAGCATATTAAGTATGTACTTATAAAGAGGGGGAAGGGTAGAGAGTAAAAACACACTAACGAGTCACAGTAACTAAAGGCAAAGTGATGTAGTGGCCTGACTTCAGCCTGAAAGCTAGAAAAAACCTAAAGGCCCATGAAAAGCCATCTCATGTATCCAAAAATCACACACAAGAGATTAGTAGCCAGTATTGTCTCAAGTTAGCCTTGATTTGATTTAGCCACTCTGCTACAACAGAGCCCTAACAGTGCTATTTGATTTAAATGCAGTCATCCCAGATCAAGTATTGGCAAGAGAGAATGATGGCACAGAGAGGGAATCTTAGGGCATTGGCTGGGAAATGTGAATTTCACAAAAAATAGTTGTAGAGGCTCTAATTAAAAGAAGTCTAATTCCTGGGTTTAATCAATTAATCGATTGTTTGAAACGTCACTAAGTCCACCTCGAGTGCCTCAAAGCAAACAATGCAGATCAGAATATCAAGTGATGACGACACATCAAGAGAGCATAATGTCCAATAATTATTATTATACTCTCTCAACAACACTGAATAAACATTTGCAGACCTCTCCAGAAACCAACTTCCATTATTAATCTCAAATGTTTAATATTATTGGTCAAAAAAAATTATACTTTGGTGAAATTCACATATCCCAATGGCTGGACTGGGCATTTCCTTCTCTGACGTCCCATCATCATCTCTTGGTATTGGTCTACTCACAGGCATCCTCAGATTCATCTTGTCTGTAACCCGACAGGTCACTTTCAATGATTTGTCTTACAGCAGCATGAGCGATAAGTGCTGTTATGCCTTCTGGAGCTTGGCTATGTATAAAGTAAAGCAATAAGAAGAGATTGATTTAGAGCAATAATATTTTAGTATGACCTTGAAATGAAAAAACTCAAACAAGACAGAAACAAATAAATGGAAATAGAGCGATTTGATTGGTTTATCGAATGGACACAAACACGCGTGGCTTTTGGTTGGTTAGGTGAACACTCAGGTGAGAAAACCTTCAAGCCCGGGAACGTTCTAGAAATCAATCCATACTTTGCATTGACGTCATGTTGCAACACGATTGACCAATCAAACAATGCCTTCTCCATATTAGGGTTTTCTTCTGCAGGAAAACGAAGAGTCCATGTTTTGATCTTTTCATCCATTGGCTGATAAAACAAATGACGAACACTTACAGAAACTATTTTTCAAGGTCATACAAAAATCTCTCTAAGACTCACATATACGACAAATGGCAAACCACAGATTCAAGTTGAGTATTTCTCAGAATAGAAAATAAGCAGATAAAAACTGTCCAGAACAATACTTATGCCTAAAACTGGCATGCAACAACTTACTCTTTAGTAGAGGTAATAATAAAACAGTAAGTGACAATTAGGTAAGAGGAAACTTGGTCACGCAGTCAGATTCACATTTGCCAATTGGCGTAAACATGACTCTTAATCTCTGTATTGAAACTACCACTAACACTTGAGACCAAGTTTCTCTTGTTGGAGAGACTTCCCTCCCCAACAGGACCTGTTGAGTTTCAGTTCCAGACCACTAGGATACATTAAGTTTGCAGACCTTTAAGTTTTTAAAAAAGAATTGTTTTTTTTAAATTATCCTATTTTGTGAGCCGCCTATAATAGTTATGTCGATTCTTCCTTTTTTGTCTTATATTTGTACACATGGAACATTAATGAGATGGATGCATTGCAAATGATCCCACATAATACAAAATTTTGACCCTTATAAAAAATTTCTATTTCTGATTGTCAATCTTGAATCTTCCATTGCAATCTCTTAGAATTATGGATGCCCTTGATTTCACATGGGCGAGCCCTTGAATGAAAGTAGTCAATTTCAAAATAAGAAATCTAAAAAGTTGTCTATGAAAGTAGTCAATTTCAAAATAAGAAATCTAGTGAGAAACTAGGCGCAATGCTGGAAGATTCCTTGCATATCAAGTCTTCTAAGATAGGCTTAATATCAGATACTCAGAGGCTATATTGTGTGACAGCAACATGGCAATACTCTAATCAGCTCAGGTATTTGCAAAATTACACGTATGTGTGGCCTAACATGCCACTCACACATTCCCCATTCACGATTATACGTATTTTTAAATTTGTTATCTTTGTCAACTTTTTATTATCTTTATTAATTAAAGTCTGTCACCCGAACACTACAATAATTTCTTTGTCAAGTGCTCAATCGTGGAGTGATACAAAAGTTTTGTAAAGGGATAAAATATAATCTGCCAAACTATCGCCTTGAAAAATATCATATACCTTTCTGTTATTCAAAGGAATGAATTAATTAAGAAGCCAATATTGATGATTTTAAGAACTTTTTTCGAAGACCAAAATAATAGTGTTACTCCAGACACACGGTACATGCACTAAATCACATCCCTTGACTGACCCATTAAAACATTTCTGAGGTACTTTAATACATTTAAAACAGTAAAGGGCTGACTTAACTGCCATCTTTAATGTATCATATAAGTAAATTTATTACATACGCTTACAAAGGAGGGGGTATGATCTACTTACACCTTCTTTACACCGTACACCTTTAGTTTTAAAATTAACTCATTTGTAAAATAACTTAATAGAAAGCAAGTAGTCCTTGTGATAGTCTAGATAGGTATACTACTGAAACAATGTTTCTGATCAGCACCGGGATCGCTCCAATTTCTTTACAAAACAACATTGATTCTATTCGCTTTGATTCTGTAAGCTGTGTAAACACGAACTGTGCAGTGCACCCGAATACGCAAATAGGTACAACAATGCTTTCGCACGCTAAAACAGCTACATTTTGCATTTGCAAGAGTTTTGAACTGATGCTCACCTTTTCCTGAGGTACTGCAAGCACCAGTCGATGCATTCTCCTTCTAACTCGTTCACAGTGACAGAGAGTGAACTTAGTCGGATGGGTAGGTTCTCACATTCACCAAACGCGTCAGTTCCATCAGCGACAAATCGCCTGAAGAAATCTAACGCCTCTTGCCTTTCCTCGTCCGTGAAGGGCACACTCATAATGGGCATAGATATGAAGCCGTGGGCGACTTACATAATGTAATAACGAGCACCATACGGTCAACTTTTTAAGGCAGCCATGCCATATTTCTGGCGCTTTGTAGCGAAGTCGGATACTTCCGAAAAGGATCATGGGTCACGTATGTTCTGTCACGCTCGTCATTGCTTGTCACACAGGCTCCTTCGCAGCCGCTTTAGTGTCGTTTTTCCGCACAAGTGCGAAAGGAGGGAGGAGCGTTGCGTGACGATACTAAAAACGGCTGCTAGCGGAGACTATCGATACTGGGAACAATTTTAATTCGATAACGCGCACACTGGTCGTGTGGGTCGTCAGTGAAAGCCAGGACCCCTTTACCCCCGATAGTTCAGTTGTTGTTCTAGAAGGGGAAGTACTGACTAAGGAGAACATAGAAGCTTCTTTTGACTGACTACGAAGCTTGTTTAATAGTGGTATGAAAAATCTTTTTTGAAGTTATCTGCGATCATCCTTTTTAACGTCAAATAGAGATATAGGGAGGGCATGATCACAGTGAAGAGGAATTGAACACAGAACACGTGGCACTTTTGGTAAAGGTACTATTCAGATACTATTCTGGGTACTATTTATGGAACTGAGCATGAGATGATAGATCTGAAATTTGAAAAAAATTGAGATCAGTTGTATTTCAGCTTTGGCAATTACCACCTATCCATTAGAAAAGTCAGGGAATTAATTCGTGATTTGAATTCTCACCGTTTTGTTACCAGCAACTTGGGAGCGATCTTAATGGATGGGAATAAGCTCTCTTGACCTTAATCCTGTCTTTTTAGATACTTAAATTGTAGAACCAACTAAAACTTAAAGAGCATTACTGATTGATCTATGTAAGTACAGCCTGCTTGACAGCAGTGAACTTCGAGGGTATGTCTCTTGACCTGCTTTTGACCAAACAAAGAAAACTTTTTGACGTGTTTAATCTCGGCTATACAGATCTGTCCTCAAAATATTTAGGACGAAATAAACCGCGTCTACCCTGCTGTGAGAAATTCTCATTACAGAAAAGGAGCAGATAAAAATGGCTCAAAACAATTCTAATGAATAAAAACTGGTGTAAAAACTGCAGTTAAAATTTCATCACGTGATACAAAGTTGCCTAAGCCTCTAATGTAGCAGAGTACATATAGAGAGTTTGGTCTGTGACGTGTTCCAGTAATAACAGCTACGTAGTCACCTGACCTAAATGAATAATTACTTAAGAAGGATTGCGGGGAGAAATAGACCCTGTTCCAAAGTATAATAGAACACCAAAGTAATATATACTCCTCCTCCACAGTGGCGGATCCAGACCTTCAGATAAGGGAGGGGGGCAGTCATCCAGGCCCTGAGATAAAGGGGGGCCAGTCTCAAAAAAAAATTTTTCGGCTCCTTGGGCCACAGTTTGGTCTAAAAATAAGGGGGGTGCCTGGGCCCCTCCCCTGGATCCGCCACTGCTCCAATAAGTACGGGAATTTCTACACTCTGTTCAAGAGACGTCCAGCTTATTTGCGAGAGATGGGTTGCAAGGGGCGGGGGGGAGGGCAGTGGACGCGCGGGAAGCTTTCCTTTTTCCCGAATCGCCTGCCACGCAAGATGTAGTGAATGAGGCATAAGATGCACATTTTTAATGGGAAAGAATTTATTGAAAATGACGTCGATATGTTATTCTTATACATTACAACCGCCAAGAAGAAATTCGTATCCAGAAATAAATACAATTTTTTTTCCTGAAAACTTTACATATCTAAATCCAACATAATTTAAAATTTACATAAATAGACCATGTCTGAGATAAATTAAAGATATGAAGTTTCTTTAATAATTTAATTTGCATGAATCTAAAAATGTCCTCGATTTACTATTGTGATGCCATAGTCATTTTACTAATCTTGCTTGGATTTAGGTCGAGGTTTAAAGAACGCTACACTCACGCGGGACTCTCGCGCGGGCCTAGATATCTCGAGAGATGCGCGTAAGAACGTGACGATATCTGGAGGGGCACCATAACAATGCTTCTAAAGAGTGTTTCAGAATTGATTCTTTTTAAAAATCCCTTTTCTATAAAAAAAAAAAAACTATGGCATTCTTCTCCTTAGAAGATTTTTGCGTCTGTAAATCATTCAGTGTAGACGATAACATTCTTCCTACTTGGAAATAAGGACCAGCATTTCAAAATAGAAGAACCGGATCCCTATAGGGGATCTAATCAGCTATAAATGTATGAACAACGGAAAGAAGCAGGGCTGATATCAATCATTTACAAGTGAAATATCGTGCCTTTCGAAATATCAGCAATAATTATATTCCCACATGTAAAACCAGCCTTGCTTCCTTCCGTTGTTCCGCCGAACAAAACTTTTAACTTTCACTATCATAATAACTATACAATCCTGACGAGTGAAAAGGAAATGATTCGATCACTTGTGTATACATTAATGTGAACTAATAGCGAATAACAAAACACAAAACATAGATTATCTCCCTGGATCGCTTTGTACTCCATCATACGCGTACATCCTATGGGATACGGGATATGCATTGTTTGCGCCCGAGCTAGGCGCGACCTCGAATCTTCCTCACGACATTTTTAGGGAAGAACCTCGACATCCCATGGCAATTATTTGTTACTGGCTGTTGCAAATTTTACACTGATAAAGACACAAATTATAACAGAAGAAGAACTATATAACCGAAAGCCTCCGAACAATTTAACCTATGTAAAATTCTGGCCTATTTCAGTTCGGCTTTCCATTACCGTCACTATAACCAAAAGTACATTTGCCTGTGGAATAATTCAGCGCCATACCATTACAATCTTTTTCTAGATGTGAATTAAAGGGAAAATTAATCATCAATGAATAAATTTTTGTCTAAACAGTTTACATCCAGTCGCATAATAAAAGGAAATTGTCGTCTACTTTATATTTTGGCAACCCTCCAAAGTCCAAATTTTATTTCAAACCGGCGATTATTCTAGGGCAGAGAAAAACATGTTTTCAGTTATGGATAAATTAAACCTAGAAAAATCTTTTCCAGTGTCTTCCACGAAACTGGTACTGACTTGTTACGTCTCATTGCTTCTATTTATGTATTTATGTATCTATTTTATTATATTTTTTTACAAAAAACTCATGAGAAAACGTCAAATTGATGCATCCAGTTGGAGACGTGAGAATATTAAACTGTTATTCCGAATTTTGGTCAAAATTATGCTACAAGAATCGAATTTTAATACTTTCCTCAAGACTGCCCCTTTAACTTGGGTAAATTGCTGGTTTCTGAGGCGTGGATGAAATTAAATGAGTGAACATTCAGATGAAATGTTTCAAGCAAAACTATTATATACTCTATTTGTATGAGAAGATGAAAAATCACTTCTTGAATTAAACCAGAGCTCTTAACGTTTCCGCATGCCTGACCTTTCCTTTGCATGCAGCACACTGAAGGCACTGGGGTCTAGAATGAATGAAATCAGCATTTTTGTCTGTTTTCATTTGAAGTTTCATATCGCGCTAAGAGGTGACTATTGACGCTTATTCTGACTGCACTCTCTGTTGTGTGTTCCCCAAGCTGACAACTGCAAAATGAGAAGTAAATAATTTGCTGTTAGAATTGAAAAAAAAAAAAATGGAATATCCGCATGAAACACCTTTTTTTCAGAGAGTTGGTTTGCTCTTTTCATAAAATACTACAATAACCAATTATGAGCAATCTATTGAGCGGCACCAGCCTTGAGCAAAATCGCTTCCTTTAAGCTTGCAGTCTTTCATAGATTTCTGTCAATAATGTATCGGTTGGTCAACCAATTTAACATAGAAGGTAGGAAACTGCTTCCAGTGGCTAACAGTTTTCTTCAAATGTTACACAGCCTTTGTGGCAGGAGGTCCAAAGGGAAAGTGGAAGAGGAAAATCGGCGAAGGGAAAAAGACACGAAGGGCACGCAAGGAAGAAGGGGGGACTCCTCTACCTCCCTCTCCTCTCCCCTCCCTTAACTTTCTGTTCCTTTTAGTAACCCCTATCTCTTTCGAGCGCTTAGCTCGTAGGCAAAAGAGTACACCAAACGTTGCTCAAAGACCAAATTCGCTGTAAAGCAGGCGTTGACACGGGGCGAAGACCTGAAACAATCATTTAAGCCGATACCAGCAGCGAGCAACCCTTGTAATTACCTTAGTTAAAACCTGCTAGTATATCCTATTGCAAATATTGGAGCACGGTCTGTTGATTTTTATAAACCACTTATTGGCGTACACTGATATTAACCACCTGTTCCAATCTCGGAGCTGATGGCAAGTCAGCAAATCAGAATATAACATTTGCAACGGAGTACCAGCAGAATTTTACTGATCATAAGTAATTAAAGAGAATGGACTTACATGATCATTTCTAAAATTCTTTGGTTGACATAGTATCGATTTTATAAGGAGAAAATTGTTTATAATCACTATGGGGATGAACTCGAATGTGGTACACAACTACGAGGTGTAACACTAACGTAGTACAGTAGAATCCCTTTTTCTCGAACTGCCGGTTTTTGAAAACTCCGATAATTCAAACCAACATTTACTCTCCTTTCCCAATCAAACTCTCTAATTTTCAAACTACCAACATTTCCTATCCTTAGGAGGTTCAAAAATTGCACTTCTATTGTACCATACAGAAAAAAGAGTAGGTGGTTATTTATCTACCTGACAATCGGAGCTGCAATACCACGCTGCCTGACAACCAGAACACAGAAACGACGCATCACGTTTGCACACCGAGCAACGGTTGACGTCATCATCATCGTGCTTACCGGCGGGGCCTTTCCCGTCTTCTCGCTTGGACATCAGGGGTCCCCCCTTAAGGGGCATGAACCCGTGAAGTGAAGCTTCAGAATGAAGACTTTTTCTTTTCTGCTCCATGCTTTCCTGCGCCCGACCGCCTTGCCCGCGATTTCGATGCCAGATCGTATCTCGATCATACAAGGTGCTATTTGTTGACTGTTTAACAAGTTCATTTTCCCGCTGGCGGTTAATTCTTGCATCAGGGGTTTCGCTCGATTTCTCTCTTCCTTGGGAGGAGGTTAAAATGTGGTGGTTCTTTGATTCCTTTCTTTCGGAGTGCAGAAGGTTCGTACTCGAATGTTTAGAGTGCTGCGCTAATCCGGGTGATGAAACCGACACTTCACTGAGCTTAAGTCTCTTTACTCTCTCATACTCTTCTCGATCTGCTAAAGGACCAAAACGTGGGGGCGAAGAGTGACGGATTAAAATTCCACCATGAGAGTCCAATTCACTGAACCTTCGTTTTCTTTCCTCTGCTATCCTTTCCATTAACATGAACCTTTCGCGGTCAGCGAGTCGCTTTTCTCTCGCCCTCATTGCGTCTATATGCTCTCGCTTCTGCTCCATTCTCAGCTGATGTTCTTTGCTAAATACAAGTGGATTCACTTTGTCTTTGAGTTCCGCATGCAACAGTCTTCTATTGGCCTCTATCTGCTCTAAACTCAGCCGTTGCCTCTCTCTTTCTCTATCGCGTTCAAGGTCCTGCAAAATTCGAATTGTAAAGAGAACGGCTATTAATTGAATACGTTAGTAATAATTTACAATAAAAGCAGGTAATCGAAACCTTCCTCAATAAAAGGTAAACCGGTAACATGTGCGGCAAAGCATTATATTGGTTTGCCTTTACCTTTCATGGATTAGGTTAAACAGCTGGGATTGTTTAAAGGAAGTCAGAGCCAGATGACTACATTTCATAAGACTAAGTGTATGCATTACAAAGGAAGGGAGTTTTTCATCTTATGTCATATCATAAGTTCGACACTCGAATGAAAACAGTATCTTTATGCAGTACGTTCTCTGCAATTTTTACACAACTACATATATTTTGAGTGCTTGCTGGTTGCAAGAGTATTGAAAATGTACAATGAGGAACAGGATAACTGAGCAACAGTTCGCAAAAACTCATCGTTTTTATAGCAGAGTTCTAGAGTAAACTCGGCAGTGACAGATTTACTGACGAGATAATACTAAATCTAACCTGTTCTCTAAATAGGGACCCGGGTTTCCCAGCTGCCGCAGCCAGCCTTTCCATGGCTTGTCGTGAATTCATCATCGGGCCAAACTCTCGAGAGGAAAGTGAAGTTGGTGGAGAGTATGCATGAACTTCTGAGGGTAAACGAGAGGAGTCAGGACCTCGTCTTTCCAACGAACCATCTGGCCTAACAAAGATCGATTTGCCGATCGGCGAGCCGCCTTTACTAATAGGCAAGGATGATGCCATCCGACTTAGTAATTCTCGATGCGAAGGCTCCGAGGCTCGAATCACTTCTCCGCGTCGGTGCATTTCCAACTCGTGTAAAGCAACCATCCGAGGGTCAATTCGGGGATCCAATCGACCAGGAAACCCAGTAGGGAGGAAGGCTCTTTCTGGATACAACTTATGACGCAAAGAGGGCGAAACCTCAGACGGCATCCTAGGTCTACTGCTCTCTTCACCACCACGGAGAAGCAACAGGTCATCCGCGCGGTCTCTTTCAGACGCGGCTATCCTGGCGCTGTCCTTGTCTCTCAGTTCTAATCTTGGATCTTTGTCTTTGATCTGAAGAAGATCCGAACTCCGGCTTCTAGTCTTTTGTTCCTCCAACTGCTCAAGGCGAAGCCTACGTTCCATTTCCGGGCTGACTTGTTCTCTACCGCGTTTCTCATCTCTGCTAACAGTTTCTCTCGTTTTTTCAACTTGCATCCTTTTATCTTCAATGAATCTGATACCTGTGTTCATAATACTGGAATGTGACGGTTTCAAGTGGGATGCCTCCAAATCTCGTTCTCGAGCCGTTGAGGGCTCTATTCCACGAGGGCTGACAATTTCAACGCCCTCCGATATCTTTCCAGCGTATATCGATGATTCCTTTGTTGACGGAACTCTTAAAAATGGTGAGCTATACCTTCGATTCAGAAAAATTTCTTCCCGTCTCTGTCTTTCAGATGACAATCTCAAGTCTGCTTCTTCTACTGGTCGCAGACGTGGTGGCCCGGGTTTGAGGAAGTCATTCATGATGGCCCCAGGCTCCCTGTCCTCAACCAAACGCCTGAGTGAAAGTATCTGGTCGCGCTTATCCACAGGAGACATTGATCCTGACCTGTGGCCGCGTCCAGGAGAAAGCAAGCTTGGTTCTGTGGAATGCGGCGGAGTAAGCTTAGCAGGTCCACGAGCGGATGAAGGAAGGCCAGGAGGTACAAACTCCCCTGGGAGTGGCTTGGGCTTCAATCCCTCATCGGGTTTCCCCTTTAGCATTTCTTCTTCTCTTCTTCGGTTGAGCTCTGACAACGTGAACTGCTGATGGTGAGGCCTACGTTCATGCAGTGGAGAAAGGTTAGGTACAACCTGTTCCCTGGGGGATCTATCTGGGGACTTCTGCAGTTGACGAGGTGAAAGCAAGATATCAGCTTCATAGCGCCTCGCTTTTTCGTCGTGTAAAGCTTCAAGTTCTTTTAAGGACGCTGGTGAATGCTTGCCAATTTGCTGAAGGTGTGATAGCATCAATGGAGGTCGTTTTCCAGGCACATGCGCAATAGGTTTAACCACTTTAGGCGTTTGGAGGGTATGCTTCTCTCCAAGAGGATCTCTACCAGGGGGAGACTGGCTAGATCCTTTGTCAAACTCGCGTCTCTCGCGCGACATAACCGCGGACAAATGGTCATGGTTGTTGTGATGTCCAAAGCTGTGCACAGGACCATGATGACCAGGGATATCTAGAATTCCAGGTGGGATGCCTCTCGGATTGTTTCCATGGAAAGGACAGTTAACGTCCCGTTTGCAAGGTATTCCAGAGTTCATGTTACCGTGCATATGGTGTCCACAGTTGGCAGCAGAATACCGCCCTCCTTGGGACAGGTGACTTCCAAACATGCTGGGTCGAGGGACTGGTGCACCATGAGTGAGTAAATGTGGAGTGAAGGTCCTTGGAGAATAACCCTTCACGTGCGGGGATGCAGGACCGAGACCTGGCGTTATCGGTATACCACCATCGTGCATCGACGAGACGACAGGAATCAATATGGCGGCGCGGTGAGGTGGAATGTGCATCGATCGGCTAAATTTTTCCCTGATATTGCCAGGAATTGTGGGATTTACACTACCAAAAGGTTTCTTGGGAGAAGTGAAAGAATTGTGCCTACCAGGTGGTGACGAGCTGGAAGACTTTGCAGGCGATTTTTCTCCGTCCTTGTGGCTCGTTTCATTAAAACTGGAGTTTAGTTCCTCGTTTGCTGTCGAGGCCTTGACACCGTTGGCTGTTTCCTCCTCTTCCCGTCTCTTTTTCTCGTCTTCATCGTCGAGAATCTCAATAGGACTCATAATTTTACGCCGTTGGTCTACTTCATTTGATCCTGACTCGTCATTTTTCTGTTTCTCTAAATTCAAGTCCTTTTTCTCCTGAGGTTCGTTTTCAAGTTCGTTCTCATCCACGATCTTTCTTAGTTTGGGTAGAGGTTCCAGCCCACAAGATTCATTGGACGATAAACTGTGTTTTAACGGCGGGGGAGGAGGTTTACTGACACTTCCAACGCTTGAGTCGGCAGCAAGAGAAGGCTTTAATCGAGGCAATGTTCGGGGCACATTCGGAGGAAAACTTTTTCGCAATAAACCACCATGAAGTTCATTTTGGATACTCTCCTTTGACGGACTCCCTGGATTTTCCTCATCGCTATGTTGTTTGGGCGAAAATGAACCAGTGACTTCAGTTGTTTCAGTAACAGGTTCAACGGGCGAGCTCATTAACTTCTCTATCGGGTTTTCTTTGTCACTAGCGTTAGGTAGCTTTGGCTCATCACCAAACTGGTTCTCGTCCTTGTCTTGGTCGTCGCTAGTGTCACGTGTGTGTTGTATCGTGTCCTCCGCGCAAAGTTTATTCTGCTGTAGCAGGCGCTCCACAAGCCAGTTATGTCGAGGAAGATCCCGAGCGTAACGGTTCTGACTGATAAGATGAGGTGGAGTGGATCTATCCTTCTCTTTTTCCTTTTCTTCGCTCTTTCGTTTGGTTTTCCCGATCCTTTTCTCCTTCCTGCCAGGCTCTTTTTTCCCGTCGTCCTCGACTGGCGAGAGAGCGTTTGTCTCCTGACTGCTATCACAATGATCTGAACCAACAGTTCCCATGGCAACAACTTCTTCGACAGTATTGTTTAAGCAATAACCGTCTTCGTTGGGTGATAACAAGCTAGTTTCATCATCCTTTTCAGCATGACCGTTAAACTCGTTAATTCTGCTGTCATTATCACACGTAGAGGGTGGAGGGCTTGACTCCATTAAATTCTTTAAATTATTAGGTCCCGTTGTGAGGCAGTTACCGACAACTTTTGAACGCGCATTTCCTTCTGTTGTCTCTTTACTCTTGTTCCGCGAAACATCCTCATCGCTTTCTGAATCGAGCTGCTTGATTCGTTTAGTTGTCTTGGCGTCTTTTACTGGTGAACGAACTTTGTTTCCTTTAGACTTTCGCCGAGGATTGGTCAAATTCGACTGAGGAATGGTCTTACTACTTTTCTGCTTTCTCCGTTTCTTTTTCTTAACTTTCTCCCGAGTTACCACCGTTCCAACTTCGGTTTCGCTTAGTTCCCCAGCATCCGACATTCCCTCAATGTTGGAAAGTTCCGATTCGTTGGTGACATTCTCAAGGGAGTTATGCTGCATACTACAGGAGTTGCTCTTGGGAGCTTCTTTTTCCTTAAGTTTGGATCCTTGAATTTCTCTTACATCAGCTTTCTCCACTGCAGCACCGTCTGCTGCCTGCTTGTTTTTACTTTCTTTTTCAAGCCTTTTTTCGGTGGTTTCTGTTGGACACACACTGTCGGTTTTTTTAACGTTAATTTCAAAAGCGGACACTTCAGTATCCTGCAACACACAGTCATTTCTGTTCTTACTGGAGTGCTCACATTGCATGTCGGGCTCTTCCAAGAGCCGCGCGATTTTCGAACTTTTGATACTGCTGTGATCTGTTTCCGCAAATTGCTCCGTACACCTTTCATTGCTTTCACTCGCTTTGTCATCGCAGTTTGGATTTCCATCCTCACTTACACACTCACAAGATTCGTATCCCAGATTTGTAATTAATTCTTCTGCAGAGAAAAGGTCATTTTTTACTAAGGACTCCGCTGGCTCGCATGTTTCCTCCAAACCGTTGCAGATGGATTCACTCGCCGAATCAACACCATTTTCGACCGGGCTTAAGGCTTTATTCATAACTGGGCTTCCATCATTTGTCTTCAGTTCCTTCGTGGAATCTTTCTCACCATCGCTAAATGTAAGCTCATCGTCCGTAACATTCTCGAACTTTAGCGGTTCCAGTTCAGGTCTAACATCGGAGTTAGTCACGCTATCTGCACCATACTTAACTTCATCCGAAGAAAACCTGTTTGTGTACCGCATTCCCTTCACCTCCACTTTGCTTTCGTTGATAAACTCAATATCTGTCATTTCCTGCACTGATTCCTTGCGTAAGAAACGATCAAAAAGAGATTCTCGCTCCACTGGAAGCTTACAAACCGTATCACTGCCATCCTTCTGTGCTGGGAGCTTTTGTCCATGTTCATTATTGTACTCGGGCGAATACTCTCCATAACAACGCTCGTACATGGAAGGACTTCGCTCTCTGTCCCCCTCATTACACAATTCCACGTTTACGTTTTCCTTGCACACATCCTCATCATCCATATCGGCTACTCTATCGGCATCAACATTTTCTTTCCTGTTCTCAAACATGTCAGAGTATTTCTTGCTTAGTTGCTCGCGTTGAAGAAGTTCTGCACGAGCAATATCTTCACTGAGAAGTCTCTTTTGACGCGCTAAATCCTGAGTTAGTCTTTGTTTTTCCCGTGGCGCGTCCCGTCTGTGTGAAACAACTTTAGATCCTTTACTTTCGTCCACTTGCGGATATTTTTTGGACTCCCTGGTCGGAGATAATTTTCTGGCCTCGGAATCTTCTCCGAGACGACGTACAGGGGATCCATATCGCCCCGAATGGCGCGAAACATCGTTTCCATGTCTCTGATAATTATGTGAACTTTTACGTTGGGGATTTAAATCTAACTCAGAGTTACGATCAGAATAGTGATCGCGATCACGAACACCCGGGCGACCTGAGGGTCTTCCTGTCCCGCGACCACGTTTATCCCCAGTAGATTTAGATTTGTGGCCGAACGCAGGCTTTCCTCGCGGCTTAGAACCGTCTCGTTGATGCATGTGCGAAGACAAGTAATAACTCGACATATCGCGTGAGGTTATGACCTCACTCCCCTTCTCTCTTGGCAAATCCTTTTCGTCTTCTGTAGAATTTCCTGAACTTATGTAAGATTCTCCCGTCTTGAGCTGAAAAAATAAAAGGGAAAATGATTAGACGCAACGTTTAAAACGAAATGACTATTCAGCGACTGATTGCTGAGTCACTGTAAACAAGTATCCAGTGAGACTAACAAAATAATAACTGAACATACTTGGTTCAATGAGCGTGCTTTTGCGGTGATAAAAATTATTAGCGAGAGGCATATCAATGTTCAGTATCTTAGAAAGACTGTTTCCTGCCAATGGAGTCTGAATATTCCGATTAAATCAACTCAGCAAAAAGCCCGTTTCAGAGGCTACACTGACCAAGTTCCAGAGCAAAACACAGTGAAGATTAAGTATTTTGGAAACAAAACTATTTAACTCACGACTACCTCTATCAGTAATGGCAGCTTTCAATATCTCCACATGTTTGACTCCTTAAGCAATATTTTTCAAGAGCTACTTAAAACCCTCATTATCAGTATTTTAGAGTTCGTCTGATATCTTCTTACCGGCGCCAAATGAAACAGAGAAGAAAACTTCAAACATCAACAAAGAGTGTCATGACACTACAATCGACCCTAAAACTTTAGAATAACATTGCAAAAAAGTTCAAAGTCTACACATCAACAGAAAAGCCAGTCAAACTCAAAAAACTTTGTTCAAATTGTGTAATAACAGGATCAGAGGCATCTAATGTTAACACCAAGTAACTCAGTTTTGTTTACGCCAAAAAAAAAACATACAATACTGTTTCGATTCGGTGCAACAATACTACAAATACAATAAGCAGATATTAACCTCTCAGGCACTTATTTATCAACAATACCGCGATATTCAGCAACGTGGTGAGCTCGATATTGGCCCGACCGTGTGATGAGATATACTATCCTTCGGAGATAAATCACTTATCCGACTCAAGGTGCTGTGTTGTGCCTTGCGTTTTCCTTGAATAGCTACAGAGTATTCGTTAAACAGGTTTACAAGTAAAACGTGCTTTCAACTCGAGAACTTCGGGCAGATGTCATTTCTTTCAGCAAATGACTGCAACAAATAAGGCCTTAAAAGGTGCAACCTGACGCGCGCAGCTGTGACCAGTCGCTCAGTGTATAAAAAGACAATAGAACAGCAAGTATCAATCTTCTTTGTATATCACCGCATATCTTGTAAGAAGAGTGAAAAATAAAAGAAAACAAAAAAATACTTGAAACAACAGGAATTAACGATTTTCACCTCATACCGTCAAAGCTAAAACCACTCCTAGAAGGACTTAATAGCATCACGTTTGAGGTCAAATAATGAATTGTTGTAGATGTATCAGCATTCCTTTGTACTGTGGTTTAAAGTTTTATTGCATCATACCAATTTTTTTTTTCACTCTTGACTCTATAATTTGAGAAAAATGACAGCCTAAACAAAAGTGGCGCTGCATTTTTCATTTAAAATCATAACCGCAAAAAGATAGCCCGAATGTTCCTCGATTACAGCGTTGCTTTGCAAGTATTAAATATTGATGTTCTTCCGGGACGTGTAGGCCTTCCAATTACGACATCGCTTTATTTCAAAAAATTTAAAATACTTGAGGTTAAAGGTGACCATTTTATTAGTTGAAGCTTAGACGGTGGTGGTTATAGACTTCTTTCGCATTTGATTTTAGACCCGGGCCGCAAGGAAACAGCACAACAGGAAACTCTTAATCTGCTCAAATTTTAACCTTTGCAACGTGTCATGTAATTCAGCGCTGAAGGAACTACAAACACGCGGTAGAGCTGAAGCTAAATTTACCATGAGTTAATATATGCTGCCGTATTGTCTATCAGTTTGTTCGTGTTATTTTTAAATGCCTCTTGTCGATTTCCTGTATGAAGGATGTTTTGAGACGCTTAGGCACGCACGCGAATATCGCACTATATAATTCCTTTTTCACTGGTATTTGGTCAGTTCTGAATAGACAGAAACTGAAATAATTTAACGTAGACAGCCACGATAACTAAAGGAAAACATAATGGAAAAAATATATGAAAATATTCACGCAAAACACACTTGCAACTATTTATTTGAATTGAACACAAATACGTGACCTTGTTTACCTCACCCATGACTGAAATAAATCCACTAGACAATTACGTTTGCCGTCTCCGGGTAAAGCCCTAGAGTACATGTAGGTTCATCATTTAAAAGAAAACTGCTAAGCAGAATGGTTGTTTGAAATTGTTTAACAGCGTCCTTACTATTTGGCTCTCTAGTCGAGACATATCCTACGTGTATACATGTAGTGTGTCAACCGGGCTCCTGCCAACGGTTATTCAAATCAACCCAGCGCAAAGCTAAGACCGCAGCTCTTTCCTTTGCGTTGAACGAAGAGGTTCTAACGAGTCTGCGAATGAAATACTAAATTATGAAATCTCCTCAGTTGAAGTTTACTAGCATTTTTGCTTATAAATTGTAACAAGAAAATATTACATCCGATTTTTACCTTCAGTGGTACTGAGTGATGGTTTAAAAATGTAGAATGAAAAAAGTGTGATCGAACTTACTTCACGTTACGGGTATGGAGTGAATTTTAGCCTCTAGTGACTCGACTTCGGCCAAAACGAGCCCATCCGCATCATTCCACTCATCCTTTTCAAAACTTGATTTCCAGAGTGTTTTCCGAGTACACGTGACTTGATCACGTTTCGTGCCGAACTTAACAGAAAGAAAAAAATTCCAGGAGTGGCGGGCCGTTTGTACAGCAAATCAGTAAGAACATTAGCTACGGATTAATGTTTAAGATTTGTAGATATCCCCGAAAGTCAAATTAGATTTTCGTGACGTACGAACTGAAATGTTACTTAGAGATCAGAGCAGTTTTAATAACGCACCTAAAAAATGATCTTTAGTCGATACAAAGAGAGCCTGGAGGCTCCCTTGTAACATCTCTGACTCCGATGACATCCGCCAGTCTTAAATGGATCACACCCGATAAGCGTTTTAGGCACAAATTAAGGCGCTCATTATGTATAACATTATGAATAACAATACTTCCATTGACCTGCTGAGGTTTTTCCAACCGCCTCAGAGTACAAGAGAGAGTCTTGGCATCAGTCTGTTTCCTCTTCGTACAATGCAATGGCGCAAAACTTTGAAAGTACTTCTGAGGTTCTTTGAAAAGTACCTTTTATGGTCTTGACCAGTCTAGACCTACAGTTTTACAAGCTTCCTTCATACTTAATCATTTGTGACTTTTTAACCCTAGTTCGACTTCCACGTAAAACCGTTTTGTTGAGTTAATGGTAGGAACACTGAAGGAAAATAAAACTAGACGTACAGTTTTACAAGCTTCCTTCATACTTAGTCATTTGTGACTTTTTAACCCTAGTTCGACTTCCGCGTAAAACAGTTTTGTTGAGTTAATGGTAGGAACACCGAAGGAAAATAAAAGATCACTGCCACTGTGAGTTCAAGGGAAAAGGCATCACCACAGTGTCATACGGTACTCAAACCACCGATTTTTGTAAACTGGAAAACAGTAGTTTTTGCAGAATTGCGATATCGTAAATAGCGACGTAAAAATAGATAAATGAATAAAATACGGCTGTCAACACCTTACAAGGGCTAGCTAGGATTCACAACATCGAACTGCTGAATAAAAAAGCAATCTTTACTGAATTTTGTTTCTACCATATTCTTAAGCATAAATAAAGAGGAAAACGCCCTCATCCACGTCACGTTTTAAAACTCAAGCAGTTACTTTATCTAATATAATCTCTTGTATTGTAATGTGCTTCCTTAGTTTACCATGCTTCGTACTGTTGTCAGTCATTGCTTTTGATAATACGGAGCGTCTGTCAATAAAACCGGATGAAAGCCCAGCAAAACCGAAACAGCTATCAAGTTGTTACAGTTGGTTTCCAAAAACATTGTAAAAATACAGAAATTAATTAGAAAAACCAAAGGAAACAAAACAACAATTAAGGGTTTTCATTACTCAAGCTGTGGAGCTATCTGTTACGAAGAACAAAGAGAAGGTTCTATACTAGTCCTTCTGTTCCCTCAAGGGCCAAATATTCGACCTATATAAAAACATATCGGATATTATTATAGGACATCGGACAAACTAAAAGCACCATATGAAAGTTGTACTAGCGAACTTCGTCTAAATGTTTAAATATAAGGGGTTAAACATAAAGCGAAAGAAAGACAGGAAATTTTAAGTTTGGTAACGGAACGAGAACAATGTAATGAACCTCGCGGTTTGAACCTGCGCAGGAATGGGCTCCTGACGGCATCCCTAGGCGTGAGCGCCAGTGCCTAATTAGCTAAGATGAGCCATTGGGTTTATGTGACACAAGTCAAATTTCCAAACCTTTTAGGGAGGAAAAGAGAAGTCGAGATTTTTTTGCCCTCATCTCGTGACAAGAAGTTAATTACAGCTTCTTTTTTTTTTTCAATCACAACTAAATTTTTTGCGGCCAAAGGTCTAAACATTTTTCGTTCTCGTTTTTTGCAAAATCTCATCGAGGACGATAACATACCATATGAAAATGAATATGTAAAATAGTTATCGGATGTAAACACTTTTTTCTTTTTCTCAAATGAACAAGTATCACAACTGTGTCAATGCTTTGCATCCATTTAAAACGTGTCAAATGTCTAGGAAAGTGGCGCCGATAAGTCTGCTTGTACCCATTAACGTTTTACTTTCCTCCATAACATAAGCAAACAACAAAAAAAAATGATGCTTGGGTATCCACCTATTTAAAGAGCAAATGATAACCTTCTACATGAAGGACTATTCTTAATTTGTCGCAATTGTGTGTTTAGCGTATACCTTCCCAGAGTCAAAAAAGTGAAAAGCAAATGTATTTTGCGAAAGTCTTGCCAAAGATTCTGCTGAGCTTAGCTTTTCAGTTATTTTAAAGGCCACTCGTTAAAAAGTGTAATACATGTTACATGTTTCTTTAATTTACTTTGAGGTTGAAACATAAAGGGGTTAAAAATCTTATAACTAGATGAGTTTTTGTTGACCAGTGATAACCTGACGTAAATCAGTATAACTCAGAAGAAGCTCTTTTGTATTCAATGCTTGTAAATTCACTTGATGATTAAGTACAAAAGTTTTTCCATCGAACATGAACAGGAGTTTTGGGAAAAAAAAAAAGTGGTTGTCTATATATCTTGCTCTATCATTAACTTAAAATATTAGAGATAGATATCTGATATTAGCGATATGAGATACTAGATATTAGAGCCAGCATTATTTGGTGAATTAACTCAATTAAGAAGGGTCATAAAAGTTTAAGAGGGTTAACAACGCCACTCCCTCACAAAGTGGCTAAATACATGGAATTATAAATGCACCCTAACGAAGGCCATAGACAACATTACGCATATTGATAACAAAAGTCTTGTAAAATCGAAACTCTGTCAGACACATATAATACACAAGTAATAATAGTAATACTGATAATGGTGATGATGATAATAATAATAATAATAATTATAATAATAATAATAATCACAAAAAGAGAAAGCGCTGGCAATAAAAGCAAACTTAACTGACACTCGGGAGCTACACGTCTGTTACGGTGCCGGATTTACTGTGAATAGGCAAGCCATTGGGCTGCAATTATTTTTAACAATTTTTAACAGCTTTTGCTGACGTGAGGTAATACACAGCAGGTTCAACTTCAACCTTTTTCGATTAAGCGATTATCAGAACAAAAAAGTAAGGCATCAAAATCATTTAAAGTAAACTTATACTTTTGTGAGAGTTACAACGTCGGCTGTTCGCAAGGATTCCTACATACAAAAATTAATATGGAACTCTCCTCTGAAAGTAGTTGTTGGAGATATCTCCCCATGTTGTAATAAGCCTAACGTAATCATACCTGCCTCGACTAGTTTCAACTATTTGTGGGTAGCAACTATTCAAATTGTAAATATCTGTTTCTAAATAAAGTGTGTTGTTGTTGAAATTACACGGCAGATGATCTCCTATCTACTACGTTATGATCATTTTTCTCTGTCTTTGTTATTCTGAGCAGGAGTTAACCGGTAGATAGGTGGTTTAATTGTTATATTAGCATAAAAACACAATCATGGACATATTTTGGCGTTTTTTTAAATCATATATGCCTATCCCCTCCCCCCTCACAAACAAGGTTTACTTTGTATAGGGTGGGGGAGGAGGAACTGCGTGGAATTTATAAAGGTGGCTCTGCTTTAAGAAGGTCTCCTCCAAATTACAGGATATTACAAATTTTGCACATTTTTCCGTAGTGAGGATTTTGTCGTTGATTGTAGCGAGGCATTTGTTCACCACTAAACAAAAAACGCAACCCTACCAACGGAACCTAACACATTCCCCTAAAACCTGATGTTTACGCACATAAGCAAAGCAAGAGGTATCAATAAACAGTTGGTTCACTGTTGTTGAACTGGACGTAGTCTATAAACAGCGGTTTGCTATTTTAAGCTTTACACCTTAACAAGCTGAACAGGAAGACTGCACAGATGTGTGGTTAATCTCACACCAACAAAACAAATTTCATGTCTAATCTCCATATTGTAACGGAAAGAAATTATTTTTTGAAATTTGTCAACAATGCTGCTCGAGATGATCCTTTTCATTTTTGTCGCAAAAAGAGCTGTTTCGGATTTGTTTTTTCTTCGGGAGAATATTAAATATCCGGACTCACGCGCCAGTTCCCTATATACACTCCTCTGCAAATATATTGGGATGGGATTTCCTCAGTCATTCGAGCCACAGTTAGCATAAATTAAGTAACAAATATAACCCAGTAAGCTTTACCGTGTGAAGTCTTGTCTTTCTAACTCCTTTTCTCGTGGATTTACTCTCAAATGGATTTTCCAAATAAGGACAAAATGCTCCTATTGAACAATACACACACATCCAAGGCGCATCAAACTCAAGAGCGGTCGCGGGGATCGCTGGGTCGTGACAATGTTGATGATATCCTGAAAATAAAAGAGTAGAATTTACTGCAATTGAATTTGAGCCGCTATTATTTAAGGGGTAATTTACCGCCAACTACTTCACTAATCTGCCGGTGTTAGTAGTAATTTTAGTCTGTACAGGCGCCAAAAGCTCAAGATGAATAAGAAAATTAAATGGCCACAAAATTAATTCGCATCCAGTCGATAATACTCAATCATATATATCTTCAAAATTGTTAAATAAGCGTCGGACGAAAATGCAGTACCCACGAGGCTAAATCGTTCAAAACGCTGTACCACTGCACTTGACATCAACGGAGAAACAATCGCGGGCCACTTTACAGCGAAAAATGATAAAAAGAATGTAACATGAAAAATCCCCAACAAGTAGGGAACGTCGAAAGTATATTCTCACTTCCTAAAAGTTAACAGTGCTCTGCTAGCGATGCAAATTCGATCGTCAAGATTAGTGGTGACTAGTCGCTGTTAGTCGGTGCCATTTGTCCCACACAAGCACCTGCCCATAACAGACAGTCATCGTAAACACCTCACTGCCGCCATCTTGACTGAGCAAATTTTCAAATATAGGCGCATTCACGCTATACTTAAGTTACGCTCGCCATGAGGTGTTTACCTACCGTCAGCAAGAAACGGGAAAGAAGTCACTTATATATATCACATTTTATCTACGAACCACAGAAAAAAACAACGAAACGCCCTAACCCACGTGTGCGAAAAAAATATAATATTCGCGGATTTAGTGCGGGCTTGTTAAATATCATTTTCTCTGCAGCATTTTTGAGCGGGTGTTTTTGAAGATCTAGGGTATCGAACCGCGGTTTCGCTTGGAGAGTGTAAAAAATGGCGAGAAAAACGATAAAGAGCGACAAATTAATGCGAATGGAGAAAATGTTATCGACAACTCTTTTTGAAATAATTAAAAATACAGAACATCAGTCAACAACGAAGCTTGACTTACTCGATTTTCGAAGAGATGTACAGTTTTAAAATGGGTGAAAATGTCTTGCTTTCATTTCCCCAGCACGCGAAAAGAAACTGACTTGCTGTTTGTAGAAGACTTGCAAAGAAGGCGAAGCGCGCGTCTTGACTACGAGAACAAAACTCTAGCTACCACTGGACAGTACAGCAGCTGAAGAAACAGCAGACCAACTTTCGCTTGAACATAATTTCGTTCAATTAATGGCCATTTGCAGAACAATGGCCGAGTTCGATCTAAGTAAACAGCGGCAATTATTCGAAAAGTGAAGTGTTTACTAGAGGAACAGATAAAATAAGGGGAAAGAAAGCAGGCTGCTTATGAGCTGTCAAGGAAGCGAGGAATTCTTGGTAATAAGCTGGAAACACGTCAACACACACAACTGAACCAATCACCATCACCTGTGTTTGTATGTCTCTGTCAGGTGTATACTCACAGCTCACAGAACAACTGAAATACAGGAAATTGGTCGGGAAACTCGTTTCCGTTGTGTGGCAGTCGACGCTATACAAGTGCAAAATTTAATTCGACCTTTAGTGGTCTTACGGTTGATCTCCAGCGCGAGTAATTTGAAGGAGTTCGTTTTGTACTGAAAAGGGTTGATCAGCGATCAAACAAGGGCTCGAGTTGGTAGAGAAACTTTCAAAAGCTAATGTACTGTCCATCACGAACGGACAAACAAAACAAACTTAACGAAGTCTAACGAAAACTTATTTGGGAAAGATTTATCCCACTTAAAATAGTACATCAGGTCACTCTTCGTCCACAAAAATCGTTCTGCTCTACCGGCCATTTTAGACAGCTTCCGTTCAAGTACGGATATCACTGTGATGACGGATAACCCTTAAACAAAAGCCAAAAAAAATGTAAATGTTGAAAACTAAATAACACAATAGTTGCCAAGAAATCCTACAATTTGCCCGACAAAAAAATCAAGTCATTGCAAGCGACGTTTGCAAACGCTAATAATTTTAAAAACTGTAGTTGCGCGCGAGCTCCGTATTCATAGCCGGAAGAGGACCTACTTTCGAGCCATATTGAAAGTAACTCTCGCACGGATTCACGGAACAAGAAACTCCATCATAGAATGCTAGCTGATTCAGGAAGGAATCCCACTGGGCTTTTGTTCATGGAGATCAGAGCGTCTCTTGACAAGGAAAGACTAGCGATAACTGGGACAATAGGAACACACTTCACAATGACACAGCTCAACATTGATTCAGCACCATCTGCCTTCACTTCTGTGCAACCTCTACGCTTTTGTTTGTTTTCCACAAAGAACGAGCAAAATTGAAAAACTCTTTTCCTTGATTAGGCACAAACAAAGTGAAGCCAGAGGGTCTGTTCACATAAAGTTCATACAACCGTTTCACCTGTTCTGCAAGTGCCATTTATTTCCGCCACTAAGAGAGCGCGCTGTCAACTGTTTTGACAAAGGTAATAAATATTTCCCTACACTGGCGACTAAGTCAACTTTACACCGAATGACAAGCGAGCAAAGACTCTTCCACTTTTAACGCACATTTTTAACTTTTAAAAAATTTAATTGCCCTATCTGAAAAAAATTGTACAGTATGGTCTTAATGGACGGTGAATCTGGGCGAAAAATAAGTTGGAATGAAATAAAAACGTGAAAAAATTAGATGATATTCATGACCGATCAAATGTCATCAGCAAATATTGAACCAGAAACGGGAAAAGTATATTTCGAGAGTCACAATATGACGACAACCGTAAAAGAAAACTTCTTTTCCTGTTCACTTGTCACAAGCAGTCGGAAAAGCGGAAGACCTGTAATCCGTTTTTCTAAACACCGCAAAAAGATATTGGAAAGAAGGAACCTTGGTATAAGAGTATATCAAGAGGCAGGCGATTAAACGAGTACAGTTACAATATAGTTAGAAGCATAAATTCCGCACCACTACGAAATCTAGCATTTCTTTCTACGTTACTTTTCTTGTTAAGGTTTACGCGCCGCGGCCCTTGACCAAAATAAAATACCATGAATCAACAGCGATCTAAAAGTATTGAAAACATGCATGGGAACATTTTAACAAATCGCTTGAGGCTCACTCCGTTCCTGAAAAGACACAATAACTGACTAAATTCAGTCGTTCCTCTTATAGCGAGGAGACCTGAAATATCATGTGCTATATTTTCACTCGACATGGTGCTTTCCGCTTAATTACTCCAGTTTGCCGGGCTTTCGAAAGTTTACAACCGACATAAAAAGTAACTAAAGTAACGAGAAAATCACGAAATAAGTTTGTGTTTAATAAAAACAAAAATACTACTACTAATAATAATAATAATAAATTATTATTAACATTAATATTAATAATAATAACTATAAATAGAATCATTAGTCTTAGCGATCTGACAAACAATTTACGTGCAAATTCCGTTCTTTATGAGGAAGGAAAACCTTAGAATCCGGAGTAAAAAGAGGAAAAACCTTAGAGCAGGGCCGAGAACCAACATATGGGCATCGCGACCGAGAATCAAACCCAAAACATTGACAGCGATGTCAGAAGCGGTGGGTGGTACAATGGCCTAACTCAGTATCACTGATTCGACTACGCCAACTCTGCTTACCAAATGGAAAAAGACGAAAACGTGACTCCAACATTTTACGAGGGTTTGAGCTTTTTGTTATACCAGTCACGTTCAATACTCACCACTTGTCAAGTCGTGAAATGAAGTGGGAACCACGTAAGAGCGTTACGAATTGTCAAACAATGTTATTACAGTTTGTAGGATCAGTTACAGAAGTATAGCGAGGACAAAGCCGACGATGTTTTGGTCGCGCTCTGATGGGCTGTCAAAAGTCGCGAAAGACGACACTTTGGCGAATAGCAAAACATGAGTCATAGATCTGGAAACACGTGATATACAGAACCGACTCTAGAAAGGAAAATTCTCACAATGCTATCGAAAGAACAATCTTTACTTATGACTAGATAAAAAGTTCTGAGGTAGGACCATCCCTGGAGTCACGTGTCCCCTTATCTTAACCTTTACCAGATCGCGGTGCCGTCCAAACTATCTGAATGCCTGGAAAAGCCTGCCTAATCTACAACAGCAAAGAGACCTGAGTACCTTTAAGGTTCCTTTCTTCAGTCGCTCACAACGTTTCAAGCACGCAAGAGGATCCTTGATTATGATCGTTGTGACAATGCCTTTTGTTTGCAAAGGAAACGGTGTCTGTATAAAACACTTTCATTCTACAATAATATCAGCTTAGTTCAGTTTTGTTGCTTTTCAGACGAAGGCTTTTTTTAACTTGATGCAAACCGCGCCAATTGTATGGCCACGCCCTTTAGTTCCACGAGAAATTGTATTTGCCTGGTGTTTCCTCAGATGTTCTTACTAGCCTTTCAACAATAAGGGGAGTATCTGCTACATATTCTCAAAGGCCGATTAGCGGTGCTAATCCAGGATTAAAATTTTGTTCTACTTTTTGTATTTAACTTCCCATACATTGCTTACGGTAACATTTTGTGATATCATTACTGTATCTCAGAGTAAAGGCTCAACAATGCTTTGTAAGCTTAAGTTTCATGTTCTTGGACGAGAAAACCTTGCTTAAAATTTGGCTTAATACTGGGTTAAACTGTACCGAGAGTACTGAAGTCAAAGGCAGTCAAACTACTCCAAATGAGCTACCCTTTGGATGGAAAACAGAGAAGCAAAGGTGTCGGAGAACACCATGAAATATGCGCCACTTCGTTTTGAACTCAAGAGGCAGTTTCCAAGCTATGAAGTGACCCAGTATAATACCATTGTTTATGTATTGGGAGGTTCATCTATGAACAAGGCTAAGAGTATAAAGGCACTGATGGGAGAAAGGCCAGGAAGTAAGACACTAAGAAAATGCAGAAAAGTGTTTTCTCACATTCTTTCAGCATTGCAAGATCGTTTAAAATCCTTACATAGCTTTAAACCATTTTTTAGGGGACTTGAAATTTATAATTATCTTATTTTTTAGCAATTTTTAGGGACTTTTTTAACAAATGGCAAAAAAAAATTGAATTTTTTCTTAACATTTTCAATGTATTGTAGGCAGGTTTTAACGTACACGTTAGGGGTCATACATAATGTCTAGATTTTAAGAGTTTTCCAGATTTTAGATATAGCCCACAGGTTATGCAATGCACCCGGTGTGGCTATTTTTTCACTTTAGGGCATTCAGAAGTGTTTACTGCCATAGTAATAAAAAATTAAGGTGAAAAAAATTTATTAAAATCTTATAAAAACTACACACAAAACTTCAGTAAAATATTCAGTCCATATCAATACAAATTTGCGGCAAAACCACTTCACAATTCAAAATTCCAAGAAATCACATAAAGTTATAAGTTAATCTTTCACTTCTTACTTCCTGTTATGCTGATTTTGTGAGGGAATCTTCTGGTAACTGATGTGACTGAGATTCGATTTGTTCAACAAGGGGCTCTGTTACTTTGACTGACGAAGCGTATTTTAAGGGACGGGTTTCCCAGGCCCAGGCCACCCAACCGAACTGGCAGAGCTAGAATATTCCTATCCAGCTGACTACACTTGCGCTCAGTAATCGCAGGAATGAGCATATGAGATATTGCATTCTCTAATGGCTCTAATAGAATGTCAGGCAAAGTTCTTAAAAAGTACTGCCATAGTAATAATAATGGAAACTTTGTTTGTGTTTTTGAATGTACAATTGTTAATCTCGCTACGTATAGGTAATTTACAATCGGCTGCTTGAGATTGAATTATTCGACAAAAAAAAATCAAAATTGCATTAAGTTTGGGCTATCCCGATTCCTACGTCTACAATAAAAGATGTAATATGTTGCTCTAATAGCTACATTTATCATATTTTTGATTATATAATGTTGCTGCTTTTTGTCGATGCCAAATAAAAATACCAATCATAATTATTATTATAATAATAATAATAATTCCCCTTTTACCCTTGGTAGTATTTGTGTGCACAAAGGCTAGAGGGGCAGGGGAAAATGAGTGAAAACAATTAGCCGGAGGCAGACCAATTGGACTAGGGGGCCTCTACATTGCGTGCAGTTTGCAAGTCCAAAGCCCTAACCGCTCCGCCACGCTACATCCGCCAGAGCTTTTCCTCCAAGGCTTTTCAACGCGTATTTCGACAAAACTTTGATTTTCACACGATTATTTGCGTTGCACAGTTTCTTGTAAATTTTGTAACATAGTACACCATCCAGTCCTCCTTACAAATACTGACATGTGTTTAAACCTTCACTAGCAGTGCGCCGCCACACTACCTCACCCACTAACGACAGTTTCCACGAAACAAACTCTACCAGGCAGAATTCCTTCGAAAGCATGGGCAGTTAAAAAGTATACAACCAAAACATTCTACCTCACAGACCTAACAAATTAATGCTGTTTACCTTAATTCCTCTTGGTACATATCCTATACACTACTCTACAAATCATACAAATCAATTCGTGGCAATTGATTGGTAATTGTTAAAATTTGTAAGTGGTTGGTTGAGGTTGAGAATAAAAAAAGAATAGAATGCTACTAAGGTGTCTGAAGACTGACCTTAGTTCGTGACGGCTTAAAAATTCTCCATTTAATTTGAAACAAAAAATACACTTCACCTCTGAGCACACAAAGGGGTTAATGTCTCCTGGTGATAAATGAAAGTCTCTGTTCTTAGCAACGTTGCTTGGTAACGAAACAGGGTCACATGGAATGCAGTTTGCCTTCGACAGTTTTACATCAATTTTAACTGTTAAATAGAATTTCGTCTTTTCTAGGTCCCACTCAGATACTACTAAAGATTTATAAAGTTACATTTTACCTTATATTTTAGATTATAGTTGCAAAATATGGGCATCTGGCACTAAGAAAAACTCAGATTTTTATAGAAAGGTTACAAAATAAAGCTATGAGAAGGGCAAACCTTTTTGGCCTGCACACAAACGATTGGAGACAAACTAGAACTTATAACGTTACCCAGTAGGCCAAGATATATTTGCCTACAGCTGGTGTTTAGAATCATTAACAACTAGCGCTGTACAACGCAAATGTTTAGAGTTAGAGTGTTAGCAATCTAAGAGATGCACGCGAGAAATTCATTTCCCTTGAGTAAAATCTGCTATAGGCCAGTCTTCATTCATATTCACAGCATGAATAGAGACACAACTTACCTAAAGAACTACCGGCACGGGAATTTCATGTAAATTTAAGAACTTCAAGTCAAAACCATCATTGCGTGCGATGTTGCACGGCTTGCATAGTTTATAGTTGTGCATACTCTTCTCCTATTCGTTATCTTCGTACATTTGTAACTTTGATAGATTTTAATTACTTCACTTAGATTTATAGCAGGTGCTGATTATTTTTAAATTTACCTGATCTATGTTTTTTTTACAGTTTGAGGAAAGTATTTATTATTGATTATCAATATTCTCAAGATAAGCATTTACTGTAAACGTCGACAATTATTCAGCAATATCAGACTTAAGACATTAAGATAAAGCTAAGATATACCTACATATCCAAAAAGCAACAACTTTTCAATTGGCCTCGTATTTCATGAGCGGGTAACATTCAGTTCGCTTGCACGTATGGCCGCGACACAGTGGGTATACAACGTGATAAGACAAGTTATAATGATATCTACCAGTTTTCGTACGCCACATAATGTCGGAGATTTTGTACAAATAGCACCGGGTCAGCTGTCATATTGTTTCTAGAGCTGAATGCTTAAGCTCATGGCTGGCAAGGGTTGCGGGAGATAATTGCCTTACGTAGAGTAGACTCAGCACGGATTTCATCGGCAGCTGCAGGGATGGAGTTTTCTCCCATCTTACGACTTACTATTGACCTACTAACTCTTCTGAACTACACAAACTGTAAATATTCACGCAAATACACGCACAACACTAAAAGAGCATAATGACGACTTGAATAATTTTCAAGAAAGGCGTAAAGGCTACAAAATAATGGTCTAAATCAGCCAATCTAATAAAGGCCTAAAAACCAGCCTACCTTTGAGGCATCCACCGTGCTCTCTGGGCGCTTTTTAAATCAGCTAAGCCCCGCGATATCTCAGCAACTTAAAACAATGATCGAAAGCAGCCACAACAGTGTGCTTGTGTGTGAGAACTAATGTATAATTATAACACGGGACGGATTTCCATGCCAACCAGACCGCTTCGAAAGAACTTTAATTTTCCTCAATATGTGTGCACGCATACTGCTGCCGTTATTTGGTAAAAAAGGGCTTTTGTTTCAAGCGACAGTGATCACATAACAAGAAGACGAATTGTATCAATGCTTTGTCAGGGTGGTCTTTTGTGCAGGTACACAGGGCGGTTTTGAATGGAAAACAAGTTCGCTTGTTATTCGAAGTACAATAATTCACCCGAAAATGAGTCGTAGAATAACAGTCAGAGATCAAAAACCGGTTTGTGCGCAAAAATCGTTACGGGAGCGTGGGAAAGCAAAGGAAAATAGTTAAACCCAAGCAATCATTGTATTTATAACCTTAAGCCTTAGTAGGGAAGATGATGGCCCCCAAAATCTTGAAAATAAAGAGTGAAAAATTCGCATGTAAATAGCCAACTGTTGTGTTGAGATCCCGCTAAAATTTTGTTCCCCGAGTTCCGTGTTCAGCTTGCTGTACACCTATGTTAAACATCTTAAAAGCTTCACTCATTTTTTAAGACACTTCATTGAGCGTCTGATTATCAAAAGCACGTCCCCATTCTCACTTGCTTTAACGGTGGTTTAAACGTTCTAGGCTATTTATCTCTGAAAAATGAATACTGGCCCAAGACAATGATCGGCTGTTAATATCTGCCATACTCAGTAGTCCATATTACACAACAGTAACATGCCTGAGGGTTATTATACTCATTGGCAAACCTCCAGTCGGTATCTCTTTTGCTTTAATACCTTCCTTAATTCATTACAGTATTTTCCTCCGGCACATCTATCAGTCGCAGGAAATGGACTTTTAAATTTCCAATATTGTTGTAAAATTAAATAGACAACAATTTTCTTTCGTCTTTTAATCTCTTATAGAACATATAGAAATGACAAAAGAATGTTTAAAATTTTTTCGGGGAAACCTCGAGACAAAGCGAGTGGTTTCTCTGCTAAGTTTTGAACATTTTGACGTCATTTTTTATGAAGAATATAAACAATAAAAATTGTCTTTTTGAACACATTTAAACAGTTTTAATAGTCTGTTAGACCGTTTCCACGGACCGAGAGGTGAGCATGCGATCAATGACTGACCTTCTAAAAATAAATTGAGTAACAATTCAACTTGGCATCTGCCTAAACTTAGTTACGATGTTCAGTTGTGACTATATCACGTGGGTTTTAATCCCTCTGCTATTAGACTAACTACACCAGCCTGCCCGAATCCCGGAGAATATAAAGTGTGTAGCCGGCGGTTTTTTCGGTGTGATTTTCGTTTTTGGTTAGAATTTATAAGGACGTTCGCAAGGTCAAAGGAGAAAACGATGGGCTTTGTTTAGCGCGGCCGTATCGCTTACCGTACGAAACACAAAACAAAAACCACATACAATAAAAACCGCCAACTACGCAGGCTGTATAGTGTACGGCTCCTCTTGAGCATACGACACGCGCGCGCATCACTACCATGAAACAGCAAACGGCGAGTTTAAATAGCGCGGAAAAAATTTACAAGTATCTGAAAAATACACAACCAGCTAAAAACGCTAAGTAGCCAGCGAAGAAAGCTTTGTTGCTGTAAGTAGGCGTCAGGAAGGAGAATTTATGTGTTCAAAGACTGGCACTTTCTAATACTACTGAAACGAGCGTGTCTCGTTTGCGTGGCAGGGCGCGATTTCTTCCCAAGAAGGAAGTTAGGTGTTTACATCAAACGCTTTACTATTCCTCTTGGAACACTTTGTTATCCTCAGATTTGTGGCCTACAAAGGTTGCCGCTTAGACGTAGAAATGTTCATTACGAATGCTACGCAAAAAAAGGGAATATTTACCAGAACAAGGTTTGCACAGTTGGTAAACACTCACAGTAGAAAGGGCAGCTGTACACATAAATAGCCCTGAACTACTGAAAAACCCATGTTCTAGCTAATTTACGAATTTGACAAACCCATACAGCAGTTGACTTTTATCCTGCCCCCGCTTCTTTAAAAAAAAGGCCGGCACTACTCAATTCTACAAAGCGCGAACGCTTTGGTTGATGTTTTGAGTAAAGGGTGACGCTTTCAAAATTTAATGTTAGTCTGACTGCCGCACCTATCTCGGCCGGTGACACCAAATGGATGCTGTGTATTAACCTTGAACTCAAATCCAATGCGACGACTCACGAGCGTGATTATGTCAGAAAAACAGTTAGCAATAGGTTGCTTGATTTTCTTAATGCTCTTTATGACAGAACATCGAATAAAACAAAATAAACGAAGAAAGTGAAATTAGAATTCAGTTTCATCATCATCATCATCGCTACTTACAGTCTTGCAGAAGGGTTTTACTGGTCCAAGTCATTTCAATGATAATTGCATCTGAATTTAACAGAGCTGGTATCGAACCATTTTGAAGCTGATAGCTTCAATACTGATTTTAAATTAAACACGGTACATGGCTGCCTGGCCAAATATAAAGTGGAAGATGTAGTTACAATCAAAGGCCTTTAAAAGCTATCAATTATCCAGCTAGGTTAGAAGTCATGAATGCATACATATAGATACTCATAGTAGACTGAAAGATTGTAGAGTCCATTATGTGATGTTATCAAACATTTCTACCTCAGACATAAGGACAGAAAAGCAATGCATGGGGTGGCAATTTTCTAAAGTTATAATCTACATCATGAGAAACAACACAGGAGAATGGTGATCTACTAAATGCAGCAGAAGGTCAGGATCTTAAGATAATTATAAAGAGGGGCCTTTCTCTCTAACTGAAACAACATATCTCGGCACCTATGCCTTGTAAGCCTTGGTTTTTATTGGTCACAAAGTTAGGGTGCCCGTACCTCTCCCATAGATCTACCAGTGGGTTGAAACAATGCATTATCATCCTATCCCAGGACACCAATGCTCCAGTTGGAGTCGTTCAATGAGCAAAGGACAGTCAGTGCAGTATGAAGACACCTATGTGAAGACACCCATCCCTATATTCTTTTGCATCAGTACCTGATACATTATAGGTGAACACAGGAATGGGGGTGGGACTAACGTATATGAACATATGCATGGCTTACATGGCTCTATGTAAGAAAAGACAGTTTCAGCCTTGCCCGTCCATAAGCTTTTTTAAGGTTCACATATTCCTAGTACAATAACATGAAATTACCATCCATATTTTTAATACCACTTTAGATATGGTCAGCACAATACAGACAAATGGCAGTATGTAAAACAAAGTTAAAGAGGCGATATTGTGTACTGTGGAGAATTTAGATGCTGATAATGAAATGTTCATGATCTCAGGCAGTTAAATTAACTCCAATTCAAAATTGCCTTTTTACACAGAATTTCTGACTTAAAGTTTACCCAAATGAATTATCCAAATAACACTTTCCTCTGAAAAATAATGCACAAATGGGTGTACTCCTGTTCTACAGTAATATCCGTATATTGTAGATGAAAACTGCAAGTCATTTCTCATAACAAAGAAAAATGTACACCTTTTTGATAACCAATGGCCACTAAAGACATTTGCAATATATTAGGTAATTATTACGATCTGGACAATATTAGTGTTTATATATATGGCGTTACAAGAAATCCTCTGTTTTTAAATCAATATAATCAATACTAACTCTCAGTTGAGTTTTATTAAATATTTGAAATGGCTGAGCTTTTAAGGATTGCAGAAACTACCCATCAAATACATAAAATCTTATTAACAATAAGGTCAGCCACAAACATAATAGTACTCAGTAATTATTATTTGGTCAGATTTTAATGGCAATGCTAAAATTAAACTGATAACTATTATTTAGCAATGAGAAAGGTTAAAATACACAGTGTTTTTACTGGGGGGGGGAGGTGGTCCAGCAAGTCTAATGGTGTTCTATCAGGAAATGTACAAAAAATGTAAGTAACTTTTTACACTGAGAATTAATATGAAATCTGCAACCTCCTCCCCCACCACCACCCGCCCACCCGCCCCTGAATTCTCGAAAAAAAGGTTACCTGACAATAAATAATTATTATTACAAGCGTAAGCATAAATTTGACAATAAAAAATTAGAGTGAAGATCGTGTCCTATACTAGTGCGTCCCCTGAAAAAATTTAGAGATCCTAAGCATCTTAATAGAAACTTTTATCATAAGAATAAGAGCCTAGAAACAGCCTATTAAGAGATAGTTGTGTATGTGATTGGAGGTTAACGTGGTGTCTTCCAATGTTAGTAATCAACAATTATTATTTGGTCAGATTTTAAGAGGAAAGGAAAAATAAAACTGATAACTTTTATTTAGCAATGAGAAAGGTTAAAAAACACATTGTTTTTACTGGGGGGGGGGGGGTGGTCCAGCAAGTCTAATGGTGTTTTATCAGGAAATGTACAAAAAATGTAAGTAACTTTTTACACTGAGAATTAATATGAAATCTGCAACCTCCTCCCCCACCACCTCCCCCCCACCCACCCCTGAATTCTCGAAAAAAAGGTTACCTGACAATAAATAATTATTATTACAAGCGTAAGCATAAATTTGACAATAAAAAATTAGAGTGAAGATTGTGTCCTATACTAGTGCGTCCCCTGAAAAAATTTAGAGATCCTAAGCATCTTAATAGAAACTTTTATCATAAGAATAAGAGCCTAGAAACAGCCTATTAAGAGGGGGGAACGGAAAAAAGAAAAAGGACAAAAATGATAAGAAGAACAGGTTACAGAGTAAAGGCAAGCTTTTGGTGATACACTATACAGACCTGAGTTCACCTTGTTAGTAAGAGAGACAAAGTGTCTAGCAGACATAATAACAATGCAAAGAAAATTAGAAACACTTAAAACTCCATATGCTCATTGCTCCAAGACAAGTGAGTAGTTCAAGCCTTTGAAGGATTTTGTAGTCTCTTTTTTCCATCTTTTGGTATCACTCATTTTAATGAAGCACTTTACAACAGCATTGCTCACAAGTAAGCCAGAATAAATAGGCAAGCCTCATTCCTATTTCCCATAATAAAAATGTTGATGTATTTATATATTAAGGCTGGCTGGGCCAGTTGCTGAGATCTAAGTTTTTGTACCTGAAATGATGATCAAAAATCATACGGATTCAAAATTTCTAGGTCAACCTACATGTAATATTATTACCAAGAGAAAAATTCTTACAACTTCATTCAGCTTAAAATTACTATTTTTATTCATCGCCGTTGTTTCATTATTTTCCTGTCTTGAATAAGGCAGCAATTTAGTTCCTTTCTAATTCAATTTAATTTTCACTTTATAAATTTATAATGTGAAGCACCTGATAGCTTTTGGATAGGGAACTAAAGAATGTTTAAATATATTATTTATTATCACTAACACACCAGTATTACTGATCTTCACCCAGGTTTTCTTGATGGGATGTTGATCAGCTAACAATCAGTTTTCTAAGGTCTGCAGCAACTCTCTTATTTCAAATTGTTATTCTTATTCTTATCATTATTATTATTGTAGCTATTATTCTTAAAATTATTATATCCCTTGAGTAATTCTGGGCTGGAATTTCTATAAGAATGAAGTACAAAATTCATTCCCCCAACCAACCCAACCTTAGTTACCTCCAGTCATATGGTTTTATTAAAATTTCTCTGGCTAGCACATATAAGTGCTTACTTTACTGCACAAAGTCTATAATTCAATTTTTCCAGTATCTTTAACACATCAAACTCAATTTTATCAGCTTCCTTACTCAGTTGGCACATCTTAAATAATATATTCAATATTACTTGAATGAACTCTTACGTATTTTAAATGACTTTGAATACAATTTAGTACAGATAATGATGCTTTATAACCAAGGTAAGTGAACATCAAAACATTAAAGATCATTAAAAGCACAATCACTATCACAACCAAAACGTGAGTTGTGTATTATTAGAATGAGTTGACTTTAAAAAAGGTTATTCAAAAGCACCAAACTTAATTTAAAAAATAGCTGCTTTTATTTTGGCCTGTTTGTTAGACAAACCTCTACTACAGTTTGTACAGTTATCATGGCACAGTAGCTAGTCTCCAGTTAACCATAATAAATGCTTACAGACACAGCAGGTGTTAGTAAAGACTTTGATCGGGCCAGTCATATCATATTAACTCTAAAACTGGGTGGGTGAAACATAATAAATGTGAAATGGTTAAAATGCTACTGTCTATGAGAAGAAGCACTAAAATCTCTTGGAGAAAACTAATTTCTCTGTTCAAAAATCACTATGACTACAAATTAAATAACTAAGACGTTTGAAACACAAGGTAATAACTCAACGCAGTCGGCATTCAGAAATACCAAGCTTTCCCTACTGTTTTTTATGTTCAATTGAGAAACTAATCAACTTATCACTAGGACTTTGGAATACAATTGTTAAAAATAGACCTGATGCGACTAACACGAAATCATAAAATGCTGTGAAGGGTGCCATATCAAAAAATAAGAGTTTACCAAAAAAAAAATAGATAAAGCGTAAAAATGTACGTGAGCTCCAATTATGCTTGCGTCAAAGCGAGAAGAAGTTGAATTCTGATAATGGATCGAACGTTCGATCAAGGAGACAAAATGAACATTGTTCAAGTTTATATCATCTTGCGCGCGAGGGCTGTCACCTGACATTGACAGAAAAAGAATAATTAACGAAAACGTAAAAATGCCTTGCAACTGCAAAGTATTTCAGACATTGTTAACACTGTACACCTGAAAACGATTTCCGTAACGTGTAAGCGATAAGCCTCTTCTGGAAACAATAATGAATTCCACGGTTACATTAAAGTTCAGTACTGCAGCAGCCACTGATGAAACGCACAACCAACTTATGAAACACTATAGTAGCCACGATAATACAAAATGAATGAGCTTAAACTTTGCGCGTCTTTAAATTGGTTTGTCTCGAGGCAACCATTTCCGAGGCTGAGCTGAATTCTGCACTGATCACGGACACTTGCCTTGGATACCATTGTCATCTCATCGCGCTCTTTTGAACAAGTCTGACTCGAGCAAATTGAAAATCTACGTCAATATTCTTATTTTTTTTGGAATCAATACAATCACATAAATAAAAGAGGACCTGTATCAGTTTTATCTCATATCTGCTATTTTAATTTTATCATAACATCGGTTCACCAGTTTACTGGAATTTTAGTCTGACTAGCACATGACAAGCAAGTTTTTTTTTGGTAATATCTCACCAGACAACAGAAGACTTCCTCGAAAACATGAAATGTGAAGTCATTACCGCGAAATAAAAATCGTTTACAAACTGTTTAGGCTGAATAATTTACTCCTTCAGTTGAATCTGTTTAGCTGAAATCGTTTTAAGCAAAGAAAAACTAAAAGTTTAGATGTTCAGTTTTACGCAGTTATTGTTTAAATGATTCCACGTTGCAAGCAAACCCGTCTTGTTACTAATTTCACAACAACAGCGCCACTGAAGAGCAGGTGGATTCTCCGCGATCTTTAATGGAAGACCTTTCTTTACATCACATATTAAAACACATATAGGCAAGAAAGCGATTACAGTGTTACGAAAGCTTCGAGTTCCTTCCGTCTCAGCGATGCGCTAACAGAAAGTGGAAACTACAAAACAGACGCGGAAGAATTACTTACCAATTCCACACTTGTCACATAGCACGATTTCGTTTGGCTTCAGCGAAGTGCCGTCCTTGCAAATAATACACACAATTTCTGCTGTCGTTTCTGTCACTACGAGGGAACAGAAAGCAACGTTAACCGACACAAAGAAATCCAATTACAATGCTCCTACAATATTACGTAAAGGAAGTTTTACCGAGGCAAAATAAAAACGCGCTAATTGCTTCCCACATCAAGAGGAGAGTGAAAATGCGATCCGTGTGTCATACATGAAGAAGCCTGATCGCCGATTTTTCGATTTTTTCGTGAGGGAATAGAAAAATTAGAGCACAAAAATTAAGGACAAACCACTGTGAATCTTTGAGAATGGACATTCCTCAACAGAGTCGTCGTCAAAGATTAAAATACATTTCCCAGTGACCCGGTCAATTTTCTGAATTTTCGCGTAGAAGAGTTTGTCTTCCCATTCAGCCAGCACAACGTCTCCGAGCGCGAAGTTAAATTCGTCCATTCCGGAAGGCTCTTTCAGAGCGATTTCGCCTTCATCGCGTTCATTCCACTGTCGCCCTTGTGCCACATTAGACGATGAAATTATGTGGTCGGATTAACCAGAGTAAAACACGGGACATTCGACGACAACACACCGTCCGTCCGTACAACCAGCCATTGCATTTGTGATTTAAGCCTCGACCTGGTGTTACGTCATGACGTTCAAAAGCAATCCGCGTTTTGCAAGATGCGGAGTTTTCCCTGGCGATTGTTTTCGCGTAGAGCCCTTTTCCGTAGCTGGAAAAGTTCCAGTAACTGGCTTTTAGTTCGATTTTTGCAAACTTACCTGCATTCGGAGAGCAACGACATCACTGAATGACTAATTTCGTTGCCGAACCTTGGTTTCCGCTGACACAGTTCAATTAATTATGAAGAATTTCCCGCTATCAACTTTTGTTTTACATTTATATCGGCTCTATTGTTATGTTAAATAAGGCCTGCACCTGTAACGACAACCACTAAATTTGTATAAAAGCTTTGCCTTTTGGCTAACTTATCGTATCTTTGCTAGATTTGCACACCCCTGTTTTCACTGCGAGGTCGAAGACAGCTGAGTTCACAAAACGATCGATTTTTTGTCAAAATTAGCTTTTACTGTTTGATCTTCTATATTGGTTAGGTAAAATGAAATGCAGTGCAGTAATATTGCAAGAAAAAGAGGCAATTTTTCAGTTCCTTGTTTTCAGCATCTCTCTTCCTAAGTCTCTCATAAATCACTTTCAATTTCCTCTCTTGTCAGTAGAGCGCTTTTAAATTTGGACAGGCATTATAGGCCATCAATTTGACTCGATCGAGTTCAGCAGACATCTGCTCAATTGTTTACGAGTTGTTTGGGAAAATGCCTCCTTTTCTCACACGTGCCGCCAATAGGATAAGAAAAGCCTTCCGGAGTAGATAATTTCGATATCTGTTCGGCTCTTTCGCGTTTGACAAACATCGTTGTTGTAATCTTAACAACAACGTCATTAGTGCAGTAGGCCAGAATTTACAATAAAAAAGCGCTGTTTGTCTGAAGAAAGGCTCACGCGCAATGCATACACATAAAAACCAACAGCCCGACCCACCTATAAAAGCGTGCTTTTTAACATTTACGCAATAATTTGCCAAGACGAAACTTATTTGTTTTAAGCTGGACATATCCGCCCCAAAGCACTTTATTCGGGTCGCCCGTGATGTCCTTTCATAAAGTTATTGATGAAGTATTTATTTTCCAAACTGACAGGTGCAGATTCCCATAAAAACCTTTCCAATTTGAGCAGCTGCTTACTGCAGAATTGTCACATGACACTGCTACGCCGCGGACAATTTATTTCATCAGCACAGCAGAAATAAAACGTTTAACTTCGCTCAAACAGTTATAACAGACTCCTGCACCAGTGCAGTTCGTGCAATTTAAGGGCGCCACGCGAAAGCAAAAAGTTTTTTTTCCAATTAAGTCTACGAGAGAAGATAAAAATACAGCGTTATTAACGTTGCGAAGAATAGATAGATTAAATATTACATATAATTACTTGAGACTTTTCAAAACAAAAATACGTTCACCGTGTATTAAAAGCAGCTGGTTCAATTCTCCGAAGACAGGATATCCGGACCAATTTCGGTTTTCGTATATAAGTAGAAAGCACAATAAAAGCGGTAAATTATTGTCAACTCAACAACACCAATCTTTTGATCTTTTTAAAAGTTTCCTTCACTGTTTTCGGTAAAATTTAAAATTAATTTTCAGATTGGGGGTGCTTAAATATTTTCAGCTGCAGAATTTTTTTCTTGAGCTTAGTGAGACTTTTTTGGAGGTTTTGAGAGCGTGCCAACTATAAAAAGATAATTTTCAAAAAAAGGCCACTTAGTTTTTTTGCCGTGGGGCCACAGTAATTAGACTTCGAATGTAATTTCTCAGAACAAAACTAGATTACTGGCAACATCCTGTATTTTAATAATAACTTTTCCTCTTTAAGAAGTGAGCGGAAATTGAGCTAGTCTTGGTGATATGTATTTGGCTTTTCTTATTCAACTTAAAGGAAAATATGGATCAAAGTAAAGCTTCATCTACGTCAATACACGGAAAAGGGAAATTGCTGATAAAAACTACTCCTACTCATAGAAGTTTTTTCTCTTCCGATGTCCTGGTGAAATCATTTTTTTAAAAAAGAAATCAAATATTAAAAACAGTGGGTAGGGACATTTTATATGGACTTGTCGCTGTTATATAAATAACTCGAAATATAAGAGTGAAATAATCACAAAATGTAGATAAAATTTTAAAAAATGGTGGGGTATACAGTACTGTAATTAAACAATTCGATTGCAAGACAAAAGGCGAAACAGTATTACACGTGCTGTAATTTTAGAACAAGCAGACATTGTAAAGCTTTCCCACTACGAAAAAACTCCTTGTGAAAACACAAGCAGCTCGCCGCTAATTCGAAACCAAAGGAAAGCAACTAAGAAGAAATCTGCTCAAACACATTAAGCACAAGATGTCCACACAGCTTGGGATTTTCTGTCTACAAAATCAAGAAATTGGTGCAAATTTGAACGGGCCATTATGCTGGTTGAGCGCCTGGGACAAACAGTAGAAGCAAAGTTGACATTTCAGCTTGGCCTCTTTGAGCCTTTTCTTCAAAGTTGCAATTCTTTAACGAAATTACACAATACACGATTCACTGACGATGTAACTGTCGATCAAGTTCTTTGTGCAGCTGTTGGGCCTGATAAAAACAGTTTGCTCAGCCCGCGAAGAAAATATAATTTACAAGATAACGCCAAACTATTGTCTTGTTTCGGTCACCTTTTTCAATTGTTAATTCAGTATTCAACGGCTTATACTTATTGTTCACTGTTCAACTATAAACACGAGAAAATGCGCAGTTATTTCGCCTAGTTCAGTTTTGAACGCCAAGACGCTGTGGTAAAAAATAAACTTTTGAGGATCGGTAGAGGACATAAAAATAAGATGTGAACGTACGTTAATAGCATGAAAGAAGTATATAGAAGTGTTACCAAAATAAAAAAATGCGTGGGATTCGAAAAGATATTTTTCATTTCCATTTCCAGAGAAAAATAAAAATCTTAGTTCAGCCTGAGATATATATTATCTGAAATTTTGTATATTAATCTTAACTGACGATCTTATCTCTAAAAGTAATTTCCATTTTTTGAATTCGATTTGATGATTTTCCATCGAAATAAAACGAATCGAGCCCACACTGCCAGACTAGAAAAATCCTATCGACAAAAGTAATTACTGCGATATTTATTTCTCATATTTTACTTCTGGGGGCAATATCCGGCGGCTATTTGCGTTGATAAGGGCATATATTTCCAAGTCTACACTCTAAGGGTGTCATTTGTATAATTTTTACGTCTTTAGAGTACATATAGGTTTAGTAAACAGTTTTCCCATCTTGTGATTCAGTTTTAACACCTTTTTTCGTATTCGGTTTATAATTATTCTAACCTAAATGTACATCGTTTGTTGGGAGAAGCGCGCGACAGATTTTGGCTTTTTTCCGCCGGTTATATTGAATATTGCTTGTTTTTAAGGAGGTCATTTGACCCCTCAAGTTGCAAATTTTTCATCGACTTGGACACTTATCAATTTCTATACTTAGCGGTGAGGATACTGAGAACTAGTCCGCTTTCAGCTGCTCTATACTAGCGCAACGAACATAGACTCGGCTTTAGACTTGCGATTAAAATGCGCGCACTGACGTATTCGCTTTAAATATTTATGGTGGTTCAACGAGGATATCCATGAAGATTCAAAATGTTATCCAGTTCAGTTTAATCAGCGGTCTGTCTGAGGCCTCTTGTATGAAAACGAAAATTTTCACTGAAGGCCCAACCGATATTTTAGCCGTGTAAAATGAGTTGACTTATGATCATCATTTACAGGCGCGCAGGTGCTTAACCCCCCTTCTCGGCTCTACAAAAAATGCATGAGAAAAAAAAAACAATGAAAGCTAATTTTAATGTGAAATAGATATTTGTAGGTAAAGTGGATCTGCGGATGCTTGCCGACAAAACAGTTTAAGCGAATAAAGTGCAAAATGTTTGCAATTTTCGATAAATTTCCATTGCCACGTCGCTTATTGTAGCAAATGTTAATGGGGAGCTCTCATATGTGAGCATGAGGGTCATAACGTAGGTTTCCTTCGGGCAAAAAGCGGTTTGAAACACGTATTCGCAATGTTGCCCTGATTAAAACAGAAAAAAGTGAGCCAGAATAAAAATTATCTTCTAAAGAAAACGTAAGAAAAGTTATGCGTTCGTTTGCTCAGCTGCACCCGGCATTCTCACTGGTTCTTTGCCCAGGCGAGGAAACATCCACATCTTCCTGGAAATTTCTTTAGGCATAGGATAATAAATATTCCACAAAATTTTTAGGGTCACGTCAAAATTATGCGACATCCATGTTATGCAGATGACATAAAGGTGGTGATTAAAAATTTTTTCGACAGAACAGGCATTAGCTTAATTTGACGTCAGTTGAGATGAGTACAAAGGTCATATAAGCTAACGAGTTCTGTATGAGTAAAATAAACTGACATTTTGTATGTTAGTAACGTTTTTATATACCCCTGCCTCAAAAATACCGATATCATTCAAAAAAAATAAATAAATAGTTTGCAGAAAAAAGCATTTAAAATAAACACTGATGAAATTGCTCGTTTCACGCTTTCTGACTACTGATGACTGAGTCAAATCGACGTTTTCACGCAGACGTTTTCCTGGTGGTCCGAACTACTTTTTCCCTTTGCGGTAAATATAATAGTTTTCATACCTCCTAATGCGACAATTCTCAGAACACAAGTCTATTTCTAAACAATCACAATTTTGTTTGGCACACAGTAGGATAACCTCACCAAAGGGTCCCATTTTGAAAATAAAGGATAGCAACGGAAATTAAGGATGCATTTCCTGACTGTGCAGATGAGAATCACCTTAAAACCACCCCTTGCCTACATCATTTAGGAAACGAATTCACTTATGGTAATGCAGAAAGTTCCGCTTTCCTGTCGGGCTAACAACGACCTTAAAATTCATCAGCTTGCTCAACAGCGAAAAACACAGGAGGGGTGTCTTTGAAACTTCTTTGAGAAGACAAAAGACCGGACGGCGTCA